CATTTAGTTTTCAGACCAGAAGATTTTTCAAGTTTCACTATATGTATGTAATGAAAATCAATGACCCCCCAGGGCGGGGCCAATTTTGACCCTAGGGCCATTATTTGAAAATCTTGATAGAGGGCTACTACACAATGTTTCATGCCAAATATCTTATCTGTAGCCTTTGCCAAATCAGAGAAGAAGATTTTTTTAGATTTACCTATAGACATATAAGGAAAAACCTATGACCCCCCGGGGCGGGGCCAATTTTGACACTAGGGACAAAATTTGAACAACTTTGGTAGAGGACCCATAGATGATACCATATACCAAAAATCAAAGCTCTAGGCCATGTACTTTCAGACAAGAAGGTTTTTTAATTTTGTGTGTTTTTTGAAATCCTTTTCTGGCCCTGTGACCTACATATGCAACAGACCGGAACCATTTGGAACAACTTTGAAAGGGGACCACCCAAGGATCATTTCTGTAAAGTTTGGTTGATGTGCAGTCATTGGTTTCAGAAGAGATGTTGTTTTTGTGAAAAGTTGACGACGCACGACGACGGACGACGGACACAGGGCGATCACAATAGCTCACCCTGAGCATTGCTCAGGTGAGCTAAAAAGACGTGCATAATCTCCATAATGCCATCTATCCATATCACAAGTTTCATAAAAATATTTTCAGTACTTTTTGTGTTATCACTGGATCCAGGTTATGTGTAAAATTTGCCAAATTTTCAGTCTATTTGTTGCCATAGCAACCAGCATTTTCAACATAGGAAGAAAAGAAAACTAGAAATGTGTCATCATGCCACGGATGCCCCCGCATGCAGCCAAAATTTCAGATGTTATAATATTTAGTTCCAAATTTGTTTGCACAAATTATTGTTTTCATTATAAGTTCAAAGCCCTTAAAACTTTTCAATGTTAACACAAACCATTTCCATACAATATTCAAGGCACTGAAATTATTCAGTCTTAACCTTTTGAAAATAGCATATTTCATATTTGTAGCCAAAATAATGGCTACATACATTATCACAAAAGTATGTGTGCTGAAACTGAAAGTTCAAAATTTTTCAAATATTCAAGAAAGATAAGTTTGTCCAAAATCATTGAACCACGACCAAATTCAAACTTAAACTGCTTATTCCTAAGATGTATCTATATTATTTTCAAAGTGAAAGGGACATAACTCTGCAAAAAAAATCATCGAACCATGACCAAATTCCAACTTGACCTGCCCTTTCCTTTGACATATCCATATGTCAAATTTGAGTTGAATATGTAACACTGTTGGGTAGATAATGAACAGAAACTGTAAATTTCATATTATTTTCAAAGTGAAAGGGGCATTACTCTGCCAAAAATTATTGAACAATGAACAAATTCGAACTGGGCCTGGGCATTCCAAAAACATATCCATATGTCAAATTTGAGTTGAATGTGTTGTACTGTTGGGGAGATAATAAACAGAAACTGAAAACTTCATATTATTTTCAAAGTAAAAGGAGCATAATTCTGCCAAAAATCATCGAACCATGACCAAATTCAAACTTGACCTGTATTTTCTCATGACATATCCATATGTCAAATTTGAGTTGAATATGTTGTACCGTTGTGGAGATAATGAACGGAAACTCAAAATTTCAAATTATTTTCAAAGTAAAAGGGGCATTACTCTGCCAAAAATCATCGAACCATGACCAAATTCAAAATTGACCTGTATTTTCTCATGACATATCCATATGTCAAATTTGAGTTGAATGTGTTGTACTGTTGGGGAGATAATGAACGGAAACTGAAAATTTCATATTTTTTTCAAAGTAAAAGGGGCATAACTCTGCCAAAAATCATCTAACCATGACCAAATTGGACTTGACCTGTATTTTCTCATGACATATCTATATGTCAAATTTGAGTTGAATATGTACAACCGTTACTTAGATAATGAACGGAAACTGATGATGACGGAATGACAGAATGACGGAATGACGGAATAGGGTAACACTATATGCGCCGGCCATTACATGGCGGGGGCATAAAAACGTGCATAATCTCCATACTGCCATCTATCCATATATCAAGTTTCATAAAAATATTTTCAGTACTTTGCGTTATCGCTGGATCCAGTTTTGTGGACTGACTGACGGACAGACAGACAGAGGGTAACCCTAAAGTCCCCTCCGGTAAACCGGTAGGGGACTAAAAACTGGGATCAACGCTTACAGGGATGCAAAACATTGGATATATTCAAACATTTTAAAACTTCTTTCGGGTTTAAAAATTATTTATTGCAATTTAATTTTAGAAGCGTTTAGTCTAAGCTTATACTATCATCGCACAAGTTAATCATTGAAACAGGTCGTTACGCTAAAAAAAGAAATTAACGATAATTAAATATTGTATATTTTGCAGCAATAGAGATATAGAAGACGAATATCATTTTGTCATGATATATCCAGTGTATTTGAAGGAGCTCCCATTTTACTGGACTTTCATAAAGTTTGACAAAGAAAGAGTAATTCTTAAAATTTATTTATTAAAATCTTAAAAAAAATAAATAAATAAACGAGTGTTAACTGTAAAAACAATAAAAAGTAAAACTGTATCATTGCGTTCAACGTGTAAGCATTTAGCTTCTGCTGATTTTATATAAAAATGTAACTGGCACTACATATAAACAAGAGGGCCATGATGGCCCTGAATCACTCACCTGAGTCAGAATACTTCTTAATTTTTTTTTTTTAAAAGAAGATTTATTTTGTTATTACTATATGCATATGATGAAAATCAATTTCTCCAGGCCAAATTTGACCCCCAAGGCTTCTTTTAATAAATTGGTAGAAGATATTTCATGCCAAACATTTAAGCTCTAGCTCTTTGGGGTTTTAAAAGAAACCTTTAAAACTTTTTCTTGTTTTTATAAATATATATAGGAAAATCAATAACCCCCCCCCCCCATGACCGGGCAAACATGGTAGACACCCATTAGAAGATGTTTCAAGCTAAATATCTAAGCTGTAGCTCATTGGGTTTTCTTAAAGAAGATTTTTTTAGGTTTTTTTTCTTTTGGTTGCCATGGCACCAAGAGTTTTGCATGGAATTAAATTCTTTGAACAATTTTGAAAGGTGACCACCAAAGGAACATCCCCATGAAGTTTGGATGAAATTGGCTTTGCGAATTACCAGGAGATGGTGTTTAAAGTAAAAGTGAACAACAGATGGCTGGACGGCCGGGCGAAAAGTGATCACAAAAGCTCACCATGTTGCTTTGTGAAAGGTGAGCTAAAATTATATTAACACTTACTAAATACTTCAAGTCTGAACAAAACTTCGCAAAATAAAATAAACAAAAACATAATTTCTAGTCACAACATTATAAAGCATGAACATAACTTAAATTAATTCCTTAAAATTAATTTGTAATGTGAATAATCTGGAACTAATATTCCCCCGAACACTGCTTTGTTAGCAAGGTATTATGAATGGCACTGTAACTCTAATATAATTTTAAAAAATATGGTTCTTCAACACTTAACTTTTCCTTACTTAATATGATCCACCTATGAAGTCTCAATTTTATACCTGCATTGATACGCTAAGGACAAGCAAAGCCCCAATGGCAAGACAGACAAGCTGATTCCAGTGTACTCCACAAACATTTTAGATGTGAGAGGGACATAAGGAAAGTACTTTAAAGTAACATACTGCAACTGACTGAATTAAACAGCTATCAAAATATTAAAGACAAATGTAAAACAAGAAATGTTGAATGACACATATGCCCCTCTTTCTAGCTCTTGACTCACATTATTGGTAATTTTGTTATAGAAACTTGCCATAAATGGATATATGGAAGTGTTCAATTATGGAAAATAATGAAGAATTTGTGATAAATAGTTTTCAAGATAATGAGACATTTAAGGCCCCTGTGACCTAGACCTATGAACAAGTGACCCAAAATCAATAGGGGTCTCTAAATAGTTATGACCGATCAGTATGTGAAATATGAAGACTTTGTGATAGTTTTCAAGATAATAAGCAGAAACCATTCTAACATTTAAGGCCATTATGACCTTGACCTTTGAATTAGTAACCCCAAAGGCAATCATACTATCATTCAAAGACCCTGTAACCTTGACTTTTGACCCGGTGATCTCAAATCCCAATCAATATGTGAAATAAGAAGACTTTGTGATGAATACTTTTCAAGATAATCAGCGTAAACCATTTGAACATTTAAGGCCCCTGTGACATTGACCTTTAACCTAGTGACTCCATAATCAATAGGGGTCATCTACAGGTTATGACCAATCAATATGTGAAACATAAAGACTGTGATAAATAGTAACCAAAATAATAAGCGGAAATCATTTTACCATTTAAGGCCCCTGTAACCTTTACCTTTGACCTAGTGAATCAAAAATCAATAGGGGTCATCTACTAGTTATGACTAATCAATATGTGAAATATGAAGACTTTGTGATGAATTGTAACCAAGAAGAGCAGAAACCATTCTGACATTTAAGGCCCCTGTGACCTTTACCTTTAGCCTAGTGACCCCAAAATCAATAGGGGTCATCTACTAGTTATGACCAATCACTATGTGAAATATGACAAATTTGTGATGAATACTTTTCAAGATAAACAGCGGAAACCATTCTAACATTTAAGGTCCCTGTGACCTTGACCTTTGACCTAATGACCCCAAAATCAATAGGGGTCATCTACTAGTTATGACCAATCACTTTGTAAAATATGAAGACTTTGTGATAAATTGTTTTCATGATAATCCATGTGGTATACGGACGGACAGACCAATAGGCAGACAGACAGACCGACATTAGCAAAACAATATACCCCCTTTTCTTTGAAAGGGGGACATATAAATATCACATTTTTTATAAGGTGAAATTTTTAAACAAATATCCACAAACAAAGACTGGTCCTTTTTAATTAATTGTTTCATAATCTGGTAACTATAAAAAAGGAAATGATCAGTTAGTTTTACAGAAGTTATTGCAATCAACAATATATCCATTAGGGATTTGCACACAGCTTTATATCACTATCTTACTTTTTTTAAGAATGCTGTGAGAATGTTTCTTTGAGAGGAGTGAGGACATGTTTTAGCACATCAATACTTGATGCTTTCATCAGTTCTTTTTGCCTCTTGCGAAAACTTATGCCAGTATCTGTGTAGTGGATTGGTAATCCGAGAAGTCTGAAAAAAAAACAAGTATTTAAATGAGACAAAAGGACTATTAATAAACAAAAGACATGTCAAATATGAAGCTATGGCCATAAATTGCTCATCTACATATATATAACTTCTGTAAAAGGTCTACAAGCCAGTTCTTTATACTCAATTGGCAGCTTTGTGAAGATTGAATACTACAACTAGACATGGTAATGATTATTCCCCTAAAATTTTGATGAAATTGCACCAGCAGTTTCTGAGGAGTAGTTCAGACAAACTTCTGTGTAGCTGGCAAAAACACCTTTTTTATTCAAGGGCAATAACTCAGTCAAAAATCATTCAAGCAAAAAACATGTGTATTATACTTGACCTACCAATTAATCCTGTAAAGTTTCATTGAAATTGCATTAATGGTATATGAGGAGTAGTGCGGACAAATTTTATTATTTCAAGGGCCATAACTAGGCAACTAGGCTATAAATCATTCAAGCTGAAAACCCGTGTAATATGCACAAGTGCTTGACCTACCAATCCATCCTGTAAGGTTTCATTGAAATTGCATCAGTTGTATATGAGAAGTAGTCCGGAAAAACTTTAAAAAATAAAAATAAATTAAGGGCCATTACTCTGACAAAATTCATTGAACCATAAAAAGCCGTTATGCACAACTAAACTTGGTACTAAACATTCCTGTAAAGTTTGGATGAAATTGCACCAGTATTTTTTGAGAAGTAGTCCGGAAAAGCTTTTGTGAATCTGGCAACACACAGAAAAACCACCTTTTTTATTAAAAGGCCTAAACTCTACCAAAAATCATTCAACCATAAAACCCTTGCAATATGCATAAGGACTTCAGCTACAAATTAATCATTAAAATTGCATTAGTTGTACAAGAGGAGTAGTCCGGACAAACTTTAAAAATAAAAATTATTAAAGGGCCATAACTCATAAGCATTGAAGCGGAAAATGCTGATGATATGCACAACTAGACTTGATACTGATAATTCCTGTAAAGTTTAAATGAAATTGCACCAGTAGTTTATGAGGAGTAGTCCGGACAAGTTTTGTGACAGCCTGACAGACAGACGACACAGAAGTGATCCCTATGTTGCCACAGCTTGGTAGAGGTGACACAAAAATATATTTTAATTCTGTAATATTTCTTGTAAAGGGACTACGCTCGACATTTTTTAAATTTCTAATGTCAAATACATCAGAGGTAAAATATTGTTGTACTCCTACAAAACATACTTTTTTGGTACAAAAATAAATAGCTAATTTCATATTGGACCTTGACAGTCAATGTCACATTTGAATCAACTATTATGTCTGTTTTGTCATAATAATGTGTTCTTTTGTTCAAGAATGAATTAAATCCATAAATAAATCACAAAGATATGACAATAAATTCATTAAGGTCATAAATTAAAGTCAAGGTCAATTCAGTCTGATCTTCTTGAAGGTCTAGTCCAAAAGTTGTGTGCAGTTTTAAAGACAAGTATTTAAGAAACAAGAGGGCCATGATGGCCCTGAAATTGCTCACCTGTATAAAGGCCCCTGGGCCAAGGCCAATTTTAAACCAGTGGCTTTCATTTGAACAAACTTGGTAGACACCCATTAGAAGATGTTTCATGATAATTATCTAAGCTCTAGCTCTTTGGTGTTTTTAAAAGGAGATTTTTCAAGTTTTTACTATATGCATAAAGGGATAAACAATGACCCCCTGGTGCGGGCCAATTTTTACCCCAGGGCTTTTATATAAAGAAACTTGGTAGAAACCCACTAGAAGATGTTTCATTCTTAATATTTAAGCTTTAGCTATTTTGGTTTTTTGAAAAGACCACTTTTAAAGTTTCTACTTTACACAGATAAGGAAAATCAATGACCCCTGGGACGGGGCCAATTTGCGGTTTATGAGGAGATGTCGTTTAAAGTAAAAGTTTACGGACGGACAAGGGACAGACAACAGACGAAAAGCAATCACAAATACTCACCATGTCACTTTGTGACAGGTGAGCTAATAAAAAAGGCCAGCATTAAAGTTTCTGGATGGCAATGGGAACTACAACCTGACTAGCAATAGCTCAAAATATTTCTTTGCAAAAGTCTAGCTTAAAACACAAGTTACTTTTCAACTTCTGTTGGCCAAATCTCTACATCCTTTCCATTCATTTTCACAGGTAAAGTAAACACTGTGCTGTCATCAATGTTCATCTTTGGTACAGAGGGTGGAATAATGATTTCTTCCTCCTCCTCCTCCTCTAGGCCACTGCTACCAAAGTCATCCACCAGACTGCTATCAACAAAGACCTCCTCCTGGCTTCTTCCAGCATGGGTCTCCTCCTCTAGGTCACTACCACCAAGGTCATCCACCAGACTGCTATCAATAAAGACCTCCTCCTGGCTTCTTCCAGCATGGGTCTTCTCCTCCAGGTCGTCACTGCCACCAAGGTCATCCACCAGACTGCTACCAACAAAGACCTCCTCCTGCCTGCCTCCGGGATAGGCCTCCTCCTCATTGCTACCAACAAAGTTCAAATCTAGTATCCTTTCAAAGGATTCAGATCGGTCATCAGGTGAATCACTAAACACTCCTTCATCAGGATCATTCTGGTCTTCTTTGACTCTTTCAACATAAGTAACTATTGCCCAACCACGTAACCTTTTCACCTGAAAAATATTGCATTTTAGATTTAAATTCCCCTGCCAGGAACAGAGAAAGTCATCTTGGTAAAACCAGGGACTTTCTGACAGCTAGAGGATAATTGAAACAATCAATTTTACAACAAGTGATTAGAGGTTAGAGGTTATAACCACTTGACCTTGACTACAGATATGACCTTTTCTTATAAAAATATACTTACTGGGATCCTTCATATTACCAAACAAAACATGATGTTTTTTCGTTGTAACTTTTATTTAAAATAAAAGAAAAGAATGAAATTTTACCCAAATAATTGTGGGTTCTTAATATACGTAAACATTCCTTTATCAAACATAAAATTAAATTTTTGACCGTAGAAATGTGTCTTTAAAGTAGGGCATTAAAAGAGGAAAAAATCGTGCAGACAACTCAATTTACTGGACATTGTGTTTCAAAATATTTTGAAATGTTAAATTGAAATTTAGCAAGGAAACTACGACTATTGAATGGCAATGTTAAGATACTGAAAAGAACCAGTATTTCACTAAAATAGACATGGCAGCCATGCCTGTTACGAAGAGGCCAATATAGGGGTGTAATTGAAATAAACAGTATTAACTCAATTAACGTATTGATTCTTCATGATCATTAAAAGTATGACACATTTTGATATTCAAATGGAATTCTGTTCTTTCTCATACAGTTTCCTTTTGATCATCATGTTGCATGTTGCAAAAGCCATAATGTCTATTTTTTGTACATTTCCTGTAGAGTTTCCTCCCATGTGCGTAACCCGTTTCCTTATATGTTTTTTAATTTGCATTTCTTTGTAAAAGACAACAACAAGATATTGTTTGAACGAAATTTAAAATGATTTTTTATCCTTAAAATATATTACGATTGTCTCCTGAGTTTAACTTTGAGAAGAATTAAAAGTAAAATCTATCTAAAATAAGTTAAATAACCCATCAAGGGCCTCAATATTCGGGAATGCGCAGAACAGATTATTCCCCCGCATGATCATGTAATACCTTAAGTTACTTTTATAACTATCAAATAAAAGTAAAAGTCCCATATATATTGCAGTTACAACTGGAGTATTTTCAAAATACCTGCAGTCACATTTCATATCAACTGATTTTTAACATTGACTTCTATAACCTTGACCTTATTTGTACCAAATCTTCAACTTGAATGACCCTGACCTTTTTCTCATGTAATAATACTATAGCAATGATTTGAACAAATGGTTTACTTTTTGTCATCTATTGTAGTTTTAATTCAGCATTTGAATTTCAACAACAACAGAATGGCAAGACTCATCAACATTGAATCAACCAGCCTCTGGTTATTAAAGAGTGCACACAGCCTGATGATTTGACAAAATGTTTCCAAGACATAACATAGACAAAAACAAACACCATTCATTTTAAAAAACAACTTCTTTGTTTGTTTGTTTCATTTTATGCCTTTTCCCAACAGTATTTCAGTCATATAGGCAGGTAGTTTCCTAACCATCGTTCCTGGAGAGTTACACCAGTACTAGACTACCTTCCTCCGTGCTAAACTACCAAAGCATCTCCCGAGGATCAAACCCACGCCAGAGAGGTAATTGGATTAGAAGTCATCGACTCTAACCCCCGACCACGGAGGCGGTCATCTTCTATGTACTAGCTTATCAACAAAGGCCTGTATTGTGCTATTACCTCAGCAGATCTGTGCACATGTGTCATAATGTATGAATCTAGGTTTGGAACCTGTCCCTTGTTGGCTTTGTAAAACTGGAATGAACTGGAAAGAAAAAACTAGTTTCAAATCAAATTTTAAAGGAGGAATGGTGTTGAATTTTGGCAATTGGTAGCCCTGTCAATTTTAAATATTACAATTCTTATTAGTTATAAAATATTTTAACAGGTTGACGTATAGACCTATATAAATGGCTGTTTGCATATATTTTTGCATATACATGTATTTCAAACAACCATTTATATTCTGCCAAACTTGTCAAAAATATTCATAATGACTTTATAGTACAACTTCCTTGGTTAGAGAAAAATGAATTTATTTCATAAACTGACAGCAGCCGTGTATATAGTTTATATAAATATCGTGATTATTGATGAAAAGCAAATTTACAAGCATGCAGTATTATAAAGTGACTGATATCAAACAGAAGATAAGACTTAACTTAATTTACATAAAACTAATTCAAAATTTGCATAAAAACGGTCATGTGACACATAGAAATTCTGAATGCAGAAAATTAGAAATTAAAACAATTGGGGTCTGGAAAAATTGATCCCTCAGATTAGCATTAATCATAACAATATTACATGAAAATTGCAGACCCGGTTTGATTGGGTCTGTACATGAGGGATAATGAAAAAGTGCAAAACCCCTCATGCCCCCTAGCACAAGCTCTTCCACATTGTAACTTCTTCAGTGAAAGTGTCAAATCAATGAACCAGTATTTCCTATGATCAACTTTATTTAAAACAATCAATCTTGATCAACAGGAGAAAGGCCATGGTTGACAAGTTCATTAAAATAAGGCATTTTGCAATTAAATCATCCAAACAGGAAAATGCAGAGAAAAAAATGGGTCAAAGACAGAAATGGCTGGGTTGCATTTATGAACCAAATATAATATGGCTGTGATATTACATAAACTTTAAATCCCAAGATTGGACCATATGTTAATGCTGTATACCAAATATCAAGAGGCTGTAGTCAGAAAAATGTTACTAAAAATTTTCTACTATAGACCACTAAAGTTGAAAATGTAACTAAGTCTGTAAGGTAAACAGGAATTAGATGAGTGACAGACATGAAATTGAATCCCATAGCATGGGACCACATGTTAATGCTGTATACCAAATATTAAGAGGCTGCGATAACTAGTTGCTGAGAAAACTGTTATGAAAATTTCCTACCATTGACCATTAAAGTCGAAAATATAACTAAGCTGATTAACCAGAATTAGATGAGTGACAGACATGAAATTGAATCCAATAGTATGGGACCATATGTTAATGCTGTATACCAAATATTAAGAGGCTGCAATAACTAGTTGCTGAGAAAACTGTTACGAAAACTTCCTACCATTGACCATTAATGTGGAAAATTTAACTAAGTCCGTTAACAGGAAATGGTTAAGCGACAGCCCTGAAATTAAATCCCACCATATGGGACCACATGTTTATGCAATATTCCAAATATCAAGAGGTTGTGATAAGTAGTTATTGAGAAAACGATTACGAAAATTTTTTACCTGTCTGTCCATCGAACCCCCGCCGCCCAACATTCACCATACTATTACCCGGGTTTGCACAATCGGCCAACAAAATAAAACAATTTGTGTCACTTAAGCCAGAGTTTAATGAAATAAACAAACCTGTACAGGGCGGGAATATTTCCCCAGTAATACTTCGGCAGGATGATAGGTGAGAAAAACTGTGCATCCCACATACATGGTTCCCTCTGTAAACAAGAAACGGCTGAACCGGGTGATGCTCCCAGAGGTTTTGGACACAGGAAAGTATAAAAAAATGAACAAAAGGCAAAAACTCCAAAATAAGACAAGGCAGAGTTATGTTTTTTTGCACTGCACTTCTATTCAATGAGATTTGTCTATCTATAAAGTTTCATGATGATATCTCTTATAGTTCCGGTAAAATTCGAAGTGTAACTAGAACTGTGTCCAAAGGACACGGATGCCCCCACTGACATCATATATATGGTATATAGTGAAAAAATCAACAAAGGGCCATAATTCTGTTAAATTTGGTCGCAGCGAAAATTCTTTCCTTTACTACCATCTACACATTAAGGTTGTTCATCCCTGAAGTTTAAGCAAAATCTGCCATCCGGTTTAAGAGGAGTTGCGTTCACAAAATTTCTATTTGGTATATAGTGAAAAAATCAACAAAGGGCCATAATTCTGTTAAATTAAGTCGCAGCAAAAATTCCTTCCTTTACTACCATCTACACATTAATGTTGTTCATCCCTGGAAGTTTAAGCAAAATCTGCCATCCGGTTTAAGAGGAGTTGCGTTCACAAAATTTCTACATAGTATAAAGTGAAAAAGTCAACAAAGGGCCATAATTCATTAAATTTGTTCGCAGCGAAAATTCCTTCCTTTACTACCATCTACACATTAAGGTTGTTCATCCCTGGAAGTTTAAGCAAAACCTGCCATCCGGTTTAAGAGGAGTTGCGTTCACAAGATTTCGGGACGTCCGGACAGACAGACAGACGGACAAGTGCAACGCTATATCCCAGTCCCCACCACTTTGTGGGGGCATAAAAATGAACAAAGGGCAATAACTCTAAAATTAGACAAGGCTGTGTTTAGGTTCTTTAGCACTGCACTTCTACACAATGAGACCTATCTACCTTCAAAGTTTCATGTTGATATCTCTTATAATTTTAGAGTAATGGACAAAGTTCAATGTGTCAAAATGAACAAAGGGCAATAATTCCAAAATTAGGCAAGACAGGGTTATGGTTCTTTAACAAGGTACTTCTACTCAATGAGATCTATCTACCTACAAAGTTTCATGTTGATATCTCTTATACTTTAAGAGTTATGTCCCGGACAATGTTCAAAGTGTAAAAATAAGCAAAGGACAATAATTCAAGTATTATGCAAGGCACAGTTACGGTTCTTGTGCACTGCAGACCTACTTAATGAGATCTATCTACCTACAAAGTTTCATGTTGATACCTCATAGTTTTAGAGTTATGTCCCAGACAGGTTCAAAGTGTAAAAATAAACAAAGGGTAATTATTCAAAAATTAGGCAAGGCAGAGTTATGGTTCTTGTGCACTGCATACCTACTCAATGAGATCTGTCTACCTACAAATTTTCATGTTGATATCTCTTGTTGTTTCAAAGTTATGTCTTGGACAAGAAAAGTGGACAGACGGACGGACAAAGTGGCGGCTATATGCTCACCCTTCAGAAAGCATAAAAGGAGTAAAAAAAAGAGTTAAACAAGTAAAATAACAATCATATTTATCCTTAAAAATATTATAAAACAATATAATTATGTATGTGATAAAATTGGTGCTAAAAACCATCAACACTAACAAAAGCTGCCAGTCAGGACACCATGTTCAATATTTCCAGGGCTTTGTATTCAAAGACCATGCTACAGTTACAGTTCTTACTGTGAAATACACACATCATCTAACTGTGAGGTTTCAAGTGTATACCTTCAGTGGTTATAAGTCTTGGATGCAAATCTTAACAATGAAAATAAGAGGGTAGTTTTATACAAACCTCAAATAAATTGGACAGTACTGTTTTGTACTCAGACATCATTGTTGCCGTCGTCTCGACCAGCCAGTATACAGTGTTGGTACCCTTACAGATCAGCTGGATTGTCTTTAACATATCCAACACTTTGAACATCATCCACCCAGATCCATCTATTGTAAGAATAATTCTATCATATCAGATGCATGCCTCCAAATGAGCAATAAAAAAAATCGAGAAAATCAACTCCGAGTAAAATGCTAAAATGTACTAAAATTTTAGGAAAAGTAAAAATATTCACAATTCAAGTAATGATTCACATGATATATGCAAGGAATAAATTATTTTGCATCACCATATTTCATCTGTGTGACTAACAAAATAGGAAATTTACGTGGAATGAAAGTAAATTGTTAGTAAATTACTTCCTTCGTTCACTTCACAATATTTTACTTTTAAAAACAAATTCAAAATTCATAAATCTGGAAGCATGCTGCTTTAACCCTTAGTCTAATGAGGACAATTGATTCTAAAACTGCAAACAGTAAAAGGAAATCAATCATGGATTCATTCATTTTCTAAAATCATCTGAACAATATCAGGTCTGAAAAAAACCTGCAACAGCATGCATTTCAAGCCAAGACTTTACTTGGCTAACCGCTATCTGTTTGATTGGGTTTTATGTCACCCCCGACACAGTATAAGTCATAAAGCGACGTTCCAGCTTTACTAATGTAACAATTATTACGAGTTACGGCCCTTTAATTCTAGAACGCCATTTGCAGGTAAATAAACGTCAACAATACGTTTCATAAATAATTATATTATACAAGGTAAGTTTGTTATTATTCTGTTGTAAATAATGATGTGAGCATTTCCTTGATGTCATTGTAATGTAAAGTATACATAGTTTCTACTACAATGTTTTAATTGACATTATTTGTAATGCGGACTATATAATCTATATAACATTATTAGCAGGTGCTTGTTTCTGTATAATTGTATTGTAAGTTTATTAGCCAATCATAAATAGCCGTAAGAGGGCGTTGTTGTGCAAAGCATATATAAGCAGAGGTATTCAAGGTGAGTGTGGGTTTGTGTTGGTGGAAGTCAGATTGTCAACATCTAATCTTGGAGCTTTGAAGTTATACCTGCTATATATTTTCTGTAATCCGTGTTCTCTAGGGGGCAACGCTACCCGAGAGGATTGCAGATTTTTATATAGTAGAAAGTAAACCGGGCTGCAGGATATTTGTTGGATAATTGTATGGAGATAAATAAAACAGAAACATAGGAAATACGAGCATAGAATAATAGGTAGGCATCGAGATGGGTTACAGTCGGCATCGTACTTGCGTCCACCTTTATTAAGCGACTTTTTCATTTAGCGGCCACATAAAATCCCTCCCGATGATTTTAACTATATAAGTTAATTCCATTAAACGACGATTTTATATCGCGGCCAGCGGCCACTAAATGTCGGCCCAAATAGTCAGATTTAAGTGTTAAAGTATCTATTAAACGGCCGTGACAAACAATCGTCCCTACGGGCATTCTCACTTGTGTAATCAGCGAGTAGGTTTGATGTGTACAAGCAAACAAACAAATTTTTAATGGTCATTGGAAACGACCGTGACAAATAATTGTCGCTTAAAATCGAATTGAATAACAATTGCAATCGTTTCAAAATCGGAAAAAAAAGAAACAGTTTTCCGATCGTAATATATTGTGACATATTTTGTCAGTGCAATAACGTATCACAACACCGCATTTGCACAGTTTTGTCATGTGCTCAGAGTGACCTCCCTTCCAGAAAATAAAGTCGAAAATGACGTCGGAACGAACGAAAAAATGACAGACAACTAATTGTCCGGATAAATTTAATGAGGAAATCGTGCATGGAATTGTGTCTGAGTAAATAGCAAATGTCATCGTTTGTAGTCGAAATAAAATCGTGAAATGTAGTAGACTAAACATTACAGAACCGAGCCTTTCATTGCTGATGGTGTAGGTGCTCATCTGATGCTTTATAAAATACATGTTGTACCCCATTAAATATAACCCTGATAAAAAATCGAAAAAAAAACCCTAGATCTCTAAAAACCTTATTGAATTTGAAATGGGATAGTGTGAAAACTAATTGCTGAAAAAATCAGGAAGTTTAAAACTAGAAACATGAAAAAATATTTGGAGCTCTGGCTGATTACACGAAGGTATGTTCAGCAGCAGATGTGTATAAACAAATATTAACATTATAAGACAATTTGAATATGCTTTGTTTCATGATCAAAATGACCTGTTGATAGTATTATGAGCGTAGATCACATTTGTACACAAATTTCAACTAAAAACAAACACATATTGATGACTTTAAAAAAAAAGGCATAAATGTAATTATGAAACAGTAAAACATACATAATATTGTACAGTTTTTTGTTTTTATAAAAAGATGTTAATATATCTATGACTTGTAATATAAAAAAATCTCGATTTTTCAAGAATTCTATTGAGAGACCACTTTATTAAGAGACCACTTTTTGGCAGTCCCTTGAGTGGTCTCTTAATACAATGTCGACTGTATATGTTAGAAAGGCATCGAGAGTAGGCATAGAGACTAGGAAAGATTTGGAATTGTAACCAAATATATCAATACTGTGGGTTGTTAATCTAATATTAGTTTAATTCAAGTTGATTAATTTATATTCCAATTATTTTGAAATCATTGGTCTTCAATCATTTAGGTAAGGAAACCTAGGGGAATTAATATAATAAATTGAATACAAATACGTACATTTAAGCTTGGTACACGTTACACTGGTGGAGAAAGAGCTCAGATGCCCTTCCATCCATTATTTCAGGCACAAACGGGCAACTAAGTAGAACCATCGATGTTCCGTAACCTAGCTGGACAGCTCCCTCACATGAAAGAAGCTACCTGTTAAGTAAAAGTATTGTTCAACAATTCATACAGTAAAGTGTTATTGTAAATGATCTGCCATATACTTAGGTAGAACCTACCCTTCAACAAGATTGATGAAATTTAACTTCTATTGGTTGAGATGCGATTAATAAATTTAACCCTTACCACATTAAACAAGTTAAATGAACTTGTTCATCTTTCATTCTGGACAAAACCATTCATTACCCCATCTTAAAAGGTTGGTGATATGTTGTCATATTACTTGAAAAAAATATGTCTGATTTCATGACTCCATGCTATCATGTTGTCACTACAGTTACATAATTTCAAACTGTGACTTACTAAAGCCTTCATGGTCCCTATTTGTAATATCAAGATCTTCTGTAGGAGGTCTTGCTACAACCAGATCTATTGGGCATATCTCCTTTAGCTGAAACAAATAGGCAAGTACTGTATCAAATCATATTGTCTATAACAGTACTGTATACTTTTGGAAGTAAATTAACAGTACTGTATACTTTAAGAAGTAAATTAACATTTTTACATTAAAATGTGTTATTCATATCCAATCAAGTTAATTTTTAACAAAAAGGCCAAGCATGGAATTGCAACAAACCTAAGATATTCAAAAGAAAGCCCACTTAACTATTTTCAGTGCTTGATAGTAACACAAGAGTCTGGACAGTTAACAAAGAGGAATATTTCATTCGAAAGTCATACAAGAGTTATGGGTCTTGGAAAGTGAATAACAATAATAATCCTAAATGCATGTTGAAGTTATAGATATAGATATTGTATGTTAAATTTTAACCAGGAATTTGCCAATAGTTCGTAAATGGCTACATAGTCCCTTAAACTCTTCTCTTTGAAAAGTCAGGCTTAAGGATAACAAATATCAATCTAATGCCATCCCATGTGCCATGCATGGTTAATATCGGACATGCAATCTTAGGATTGCTGGTCATCTAGGTACAACCCTGTTTTGGGCATGCCGTTTCTTCCACATGCAAGAAACTTTACACTCACTGCTAAGCTGGGTTTGATTTGAGAGTGTTTCAATAAGCATATCTCTTCCAACACAATCAAAACTAAAATAAATTCTGTATAAACTAATCTCATCTGCAATTTGTAAATTTAAATTAAGCAAATTAATAGCAAAACATGTTGTTCTAACCTTTTCTCTTGTTATAGTATTAAAATCTCCAATTTCAACAATATCAGATTTAAACTGTTTGTTGCTGATTTGTTTACCAGTTACATCACTCTCAACAGCAAAGTACTTCTCTATGTCCAAGTGCAACTGATCCAGTGCCACCTTCACATATCCCATGCCATCAAAAAGGGAAAGAACTCTCAATTTCCTCGTAGACTGACTCTCCAATACTGGAGACACAGTTACCTGAACAAAACATTCATAACAATATGCTCTAACCAATTTGACATAAAATGTATTTACAATACAAGGGCTTATCAGTTTATAAACAAATAATTTTAACAACAGCATACATCTCTCAGGCCCAGAATCATGTTTTATTTCAGCATGTTTAACTTTCTTACTTTAGCTAACAAAAGCAGTTACATCGAAACTTACAATGTTCATGCATCTCGATATGTGATAATGTGAAACTTCAAAATGTTAGTGAGACCTTGACCTTTGAGGTAGGGACCTAATTCTTAGATGGGACACATTGTCTTGATGTGGTAAACATTTATGCCTAGTTATTTTAAAATCATTTGATGCATGACAAAGTTACATTTTGGACACGAGTGTGTGTACCTATTTACTCTTATTGCGATAATGTGAAACTTCAAAATGATAGTGTGACCTTGACCTTTGAGGTAGGGACGTGGTTTTTGGATGCGACACATCGTCTTGATGTGGTAGACATTTGTGCCAAGTTATTTCAAAATCCCTCAATGTATGACAAAGTTACAGTACGGACACAAATAAAGTGGGACGGACGGACGGACGGACAGCCGGACAGACGGTGTGATTTTAATATGCCTCCCTTCAGAGGCATAAAAATGAAACTTATATTAAACCTGCTCGAATTCTGGATTGAAGAATCTGACAAGTTCATCTTCCCAATCGGCCCTAGGTACCAGTGCACCATGACTCTCTATACTATACTGGTTACACAGGAAACATGTCCAAGGGGATTTCTCTTGTACCTTCAAAGTGTGAAAAACACATGCATGACTAAGTGACAGAAAAGAAGACAAGAAAATGGCTATATCCTGTAATATCAAATTTGGCTAACAGGATTCCATTAAGGTTTTTTTTTTTACATGAAGGCAATGGAAATATTTTTCAAGAATAATGTACCATTTGATGAAGACTAACATTTACTTGTCTGCAAAAATTTCCAATAATTTATTCACTTCAATTTTCCAGGAATGATATTTATTATCCTACAAAACCACCAAAAATTGAAAAGCATTTAAATGCTTTTAATTCATACCAGGCTAAGAATTGCACAAAATTCCATTTTCATTTTATTTCTGCGTATACCTCTTTATTATCTACTTAACTGAACATTTTAAAAGAATGTATGCTTTTTAAAGATCTGCAAAATTGCAAGTAATCTTTAAAAATTATCTTGAAGAAACACCTGAAAAGAAACATTTGATGCAGCATTTGAAATTTCATGTATTAGGACCTTTTTTAATGTTTCGCCTTTTTATCATACAAGTAATTTAAATAAATAATTGCAATAATAATCAGACTGGGTTTTCTTGTACTTATGATGGTGCTGTCAGATGACATTTTCCTTAGTAAAAGGACTCATAGTATGCTTTGAATGACATCATTCCACAGTCATTACGAAAATTAATGACGTTTTAAATCTATATAAAACTTCAAGGAAAAAAAAGTTAAAATTCTTTAATTGTTCATTATTTCTCAAAGATACACATCTACTTTCTTGAAATGGACATTGAAAGTGACCTTGGGAGAAAATAAATACAATCTGAAGACAGGAAGAAGCCAATATTCAGTCATTTACATAAATTTACTCACCAGTTTCTGAGCGTCTATACTCAGATAACGTCTCATACATCTTACACAGAATGTTCTAGAAAAATTAAAATTAAAACTTATTAAATGCAATACACTTGACCATGTGAGAGACATTTTTTTAAAATCTAGTTTCTTTTCTTTAAAGCTAATTATTATTAATAATTTATCTCTTGACTTGTTGTGGCTAAGGGGTTGCTTTTAATGGTTGAGAGGCATAAGAAGTGCAGTCAGAATTTATCCCTGCGTGATTGTAAGAGACAACTAAATGGGTTTCAATAACTGGAGTCTAGGCATTTTTTAGCTCCAGCAGGTGAGGTATTTTTGAAGTTTGTAACACTCAAAGTAAGTCCAAATTATCTTTCCTGTTTCAGTGCCATAGGACCTATACTGTACTGGTGCGCCGTTGAACCAAACAGAAAAGCAATCTTTTTGTGTTTCATTTGCATTGACAATGTTGCAACTCTCAAGATTTATTTGCACTGCAAACCTCTGTGGTTAACTTTAGGTAAGTGAGGGCATTAGAGTAAAACCAATGGCCTTCTGTCAACTTCTTTACATGAAAGAATTCAAAGTCACTTTCAGGATTTAAATTTACATCTGTAATGGTCTTGTAGGCTGTAAGTAATAGATCTAAACCTTTAAGCCACTACCTAATTTTCTATAAAGCTATAACCTTAAATAACTTCAAATGAAGAAGAATATAGTAATCAGTTGTACCCTTAATTCCAACATATTGAGCCAAACTCTTTAATCTTTTTCTCAATGCTTCTATTTATATCAATTATGTTTAGAAAACTAACCAATAAAGACAAATAATGTATATTAATACATCAATACACCTGTAAAGCTTTTGTAATTTTAGGCAGTACCTAATATCCATAATGTTTTACTTAGATTTAAATCAATTACCTGCCACAATCGTTCTCTTCACAGACATACAACTGACCTGACCCTCCACAAACAGAACAGAAAAGCTGTAATATAAACATGAAGTGTAAAACAGGGAGAATCATAAAAATCTATGAGAAAAACGTAGTCAGATGGTTGTATTTTTGTCACAAAGACGTCATTTGGTGACTTAAATGACTGGATTAAGGAGAACCCTATATCCCCTTGTTCTTTTTTTGCATTTGTTTTTCAGGCACCTGTGGGATACCATACACCGGCAAGATTGGTACTTTTGGTAAGATGACACAGTATAAACATATAATATTCAATATCACAACATACAGCTAAATATCTAGATAGGAATTTTATTATAAACCTATTAAAACCATATACATGTATCTTCTGTCATCAACTTAACAGGTGATATTTTTGCAAACATTACAGTATGAAACAAAAGAAAGAATCAATTAATGATTAAGCATAACTGATAAAAGCCTAGAAGAAACATTTTAAACAAATCCAGGCAGGTCTATAGTATTTGTGCAAAAATTGTTATAAGGGAGACAACTCCTATCATGTTTACTTGTGTACATCAAATATGAGTTACTGACCTTTAAAATCAATCTCAACCAATTTATTGATTCTTATATCCTTCAACAGTAATAACAACAAATTAAACAAAAATAATTTACATTTACTCACATAATAACCATCTGTATCAATCACATAAAGGCTCTCTAACAGCTTGCCCTGTTAGTATCAAAGTATTAATAATAATTGTCCCTTATATGCTAAATTTCTCAAATTGACTTGCTCATGTTTACATTATTTGAAATGTTCATTTTCAGTTTTGGGGATTAACTCGGGATGAAAATTTCAAATAAAGTCATCCAACAGTGTAGAGCCTTGTCAGACTGCACAGATGTTCAAACTGATTAATGGCTCTATACTGGTAGCAAACACTAATCACTTCCAATTCCAGCAGAGTAAATCATCACCTTAGTGCAATAACTGGTTAACTCCTATTAAATTTAGAAGGACTTAACCCATTACTGCACAAAAGTGATGAAATGTTAAATGATTTTTTTTTTTTCTAAAAATTCAGTGACCAGAAAAACATACTAACCCGTAAATAAATGTGGAACTATTTAACATGGCTAATGTTATCACTATATACAGACATGTGACATTAAAGAAATTTTCAAGAAAAAGAAAAACAGAACTCACGCAAAATAGAAGTTTCTGTGAGTTCTGTCTATGAGAAAAGCCTACAATAATTGACATACGACTGTCACAATACTATCATGAAAGTTAAATTCATATGATGACTTTCAGCTTTACTGGTGGAGGAAAACCTCAGGTGCCCTTCTGTGCATTATTTCATTGCACAAATGAGCACCAGAGTAGAACCACCGATGTTCCGTAAGCTAGGTGGATAGCTGCCTCACATGACAGAATCCTAAGTCCCTGCCGGGATTCAAATTCACAGTGGTGAGGGGTAGTGGATTGAAGTAAACAAGCTTAAACACTCAGCCAATCGGGCACTCCTACTGGTTGCTGATATCAAAGAATTCTCTTTTCACTTAAAAATGCTTCTTTGCATATTAAATGATCACATGAAACACAATATTCAAAGAAGTTATACCTTACAGCTATTGCACATGTTACCCTCAAACAATGGATGGTGATAAACAATTTTCTTCCCATGCTTAGCACATGACAAACAAAAATCAGCTGAAATATAGAAATGAAAACATCTTTTTAAAGTTTATCAACATAAGATACAGTTTATCAGTTAATAAATAGACTAATTATGATATTTATTCAAATTCATCTAAATATTACAACATATTTTTTTTCAAATACGAAAAGGTTTGCATTCATGTAATTTACTAGTAAAAGGTGTCGATGGTTTTGGATAATCATCTATGGTATAAAACGAAGCCAACATTCACTGTATTCCTAAAAGAGTGATAAACAGTGGGAAATGTTCACTGAGTGATATACAGTTTAAGACATGCAATGAGTGATATACCGTGAAAGATAAACAGTAAATGATATATTGTAAGTGATATACAGTAAGAGATATACAGTGAGGGATGAACAGACTGAGAGATATACAGTGAGGGACATTATACAGTGAGGGATATACAGTAACAAGATATACAGTGAGGGATAAACAGTGAGGGATAAAAAGTGAGGGACACACAGTAAATATATACATTGAGAGATATACAGTGAAGGATATACAATGAGGTATAAACAGTAAGAGATATACAGTGAGGGATATACAGTGAGAGATAAACATTGAAAGATAAACAGTGAGTGATAAACAGTGAGAAATAAAGTGTAAGTGGATACAGATGAAGATGTATATGGTAAATGATATACAGTAAGTGGTATACAGTGACAGCTATACAGTGAGTGATATACACGGTAGGGAATCACGTGACTTTTACGGTTACGCGTACAGACAATATGGCGGCCTAAAAACCTCGCTTCACATGTGTTTTTAAGGTAATTCTTTATTATATCCCTTTTACTTACATACGAGACCTGTTGCAGCCTACGCAGAATAAAGAATTGTTGCCGCCTATACCTTAGTTTCCACTCCTGTGCTCATAGATTTTACAAACACTCAAAAATTCAACAGAAATTTTCAATGTGAACAATTATATTTCGGGTAACATTCACGCAAAATTTGTATTTTTTATGAATTTGATTAAACTACGTCGAGTTAGCAATGAGAAAATGTTCATAGAATTTCTTTATTTGAAAATGTAAATATTAGGCATGTTAAATGTTGACTGGTCATTTTCTATTCCAAAACATGAGAGAAAAATGATTTGGGTAACTCCCACGCATACTTTTATTGTTGATAACTCCCACGCAATATTTTATGGGCAGGCAATATCTATGCAGGTTATAGCCTAGATATTGATTGAACAAAATCATGATTGATGCATTTAGCCTTAAACGTTCAAAGAATTTTGAATAATATTAAAAATACCGCCAAAAGGTCCTGGATAGAATAAAGCCCCCATGGATAGCAGAATACATACTCACGTGAATATATTAAATGAAGTTTCGATATAGATGAATTAACCGCAGAAATTAAAATAAAAGTCTCAAATATAAGAAGGAGGTCGATTTCAGTATAAGCACAATAACAGTTGTCATTTTTCATAGTTTGCAGATATGGGCGGTTCCAGTTCGGGTATTGTTTGTGGATAATGTTGGGCAACATTTGTCTTAATGACCACATAAACTGGCTACTCGGCACAGGACTTTGTAAATGTTGTGACAAATCGAAACGTGACAGGTATGGCATTTTATGTTATTCGTTATATTAAGATTTTAAAGACATTCAAGTCATTTTATCACTTAGTCTTTTATGAAACCAACTTTTTTCAAATTAGTGTCTGTATTTATCATTATTATGTTGTGTGTGTTTTTTTTAATCTAAAGCATAAAAGAAAACAACCTAAAGTATATGAGAATGGGTCTTTTATTTTACAAACTAGGTAATAAAATCTAGAGGACTTATGTTTGAATGTCATCTTAATATTGACAGTAAAACCCGTAACGTTTCCGATTTGCTGGACTATAATATGTTTTACCACAACATTTATAAGGTCCTGTGCCGTGTAGACTTTTTATGTGGTCAATATTTGAGACCTATCCGCGAATGAAATGTTTCCCACATTTATCACAAACAATATCCGAGATGGAACCTTCCATAACTGCAAAATATGAAAAATGACAACTGTAATTTTACTAATAAAAACAGAAATACAAAACCTCATTCTAATATTTTAGACTTTTGTATCAAAACGCGACCTAATTGAATGTTTTGGGTTTGGTAGGCCTTACGCGAAGTTATTGATGTCCTTGGCAATTTATGATTTTACAAGCCATGCCTTTTTGAAATTTATTTATCATATTATTGTAACCTATAAGCAGATGAAGTGTTGTTCGCCCCATATAATTTACGCCCCAAGACGATTCGTCAATTTAGCTGTATTAATTTTATATCTTAGTGATAGTAAAATTAAATGTGAATTAGATTGAAAAATACATTAAATCCATGGCATTTTCAAAATAAATATTGATTAAACTGTTTGTGGTTAAATAATAAAGTTGAGTGTTAAATTTTAAGTTTAATTGCCGTGAATATATAGGGAATAATAAGTTTATTTTATATTCTAGATCCTGGTCCTGGCTGAAATTTAAAGTATTACAGCTGTAGCTTCTATACCATAAATTTAACATGGAAAGGACTGTTCTTGGGAAAATGCTGACGTAACTGATGGGAGCAGTTTTTCTTACCAATCATAGGTCAGACTTAACCCTTTCCCCCATGAGCATATTGTGAAAAATGGCCATTTTCACTGAAAAGCCTCCTCTTACAAGTTCAAACTGCTATGAAACTATGAAAAATGCTAATCAAACTTGGCACAAATGTTGACTGGACCATTGCTTTTGTAACGACATGCTCAGTCTTAAATTTCCTGTTACCATGGCAACGAGGGGTAAAGGGCTAACAAAAAATGATGAAAAACTTTTGAATCACCCAAAATCTAGTTTTTACATGTTAACATGTGGTCTTTTACCTAATTTTGGTGAAAAATTGTTGTTTTGTAACATTTATAATTTTTTAAGTTAACCCTTTCACCCATGAGCATATTGTGAAAAATGGCCATTTTCACTGAAAAGCCCCCTCTTTCAAGTTAAATTTCCTGTTACCATGGCAACGAGGGGACATCTCAAAATTGCCAAAAATCACTATTTTGCCTCGATTTTTTCCATCAAAATTTACTTCAGAGTGCTGCAACTTCTCAAGGGATTGAGATAGAGTCAAAGGCTTTTCAGCGTTGGTTACACCTTACCTTATGATCGACCTGGGGTCATTTAAAGCCTCTCACAAGTCCAAAATTTTCTTTGCGATGAGGGGGACTCCGCCCCCCTTCAACCCCCCCCCCCAAAAAAGAAGGGGGCACATCCCCCTTCTGGCAACCCCCTGAAGTATCTTTTGGACAGGGGGCGGCGCCGAAAAAGTGCTCACTTTTTTTAACAACATTTCTCAAACGAAAACATGTGTTTGGGGAAAAATAGGACATTTTCTCACTATTTCAGGCCTAAAAAAAGGGGGGGGGGTCGAAAGTGCGTTGTTTCGCGTATATATGAGGTTAAGGGTTAAATAGCTTCTTTTTAAAAAGTTTTTGTTGTTTTTGTACATAATTTACTGTCAATATGAAACTTCAGCTGTATCTTAATTTCTATATGCTGTTTTATTATGTAAATCTTAGAAGATAAGCATTTTAAGATAAAACAAATCACTAAGTTGATTAATTATATATAATTTGAGATTGACCAAGTCAATTTTAACATGTAACTTCTTATTTTATTTGCAGAAGCAGTAGAAGTATTCAAACACCATCATGACACACGTTAGACATACCAAGAGAGCTCTAGAAGAAGAACTAGTGGTAGATTGGAACAGATTGTAGCTTAATTGTTAAACTAAAAGGACTTCTTAAATCGTTTGAATTTTAGCTACACTTGAACTGTAGTTTTGAAATAAAATAGCTGAAGTATTTAATAGTGTCTTGGTTTTTTTTGTTAAACTCTGTTACGTACAGTACTTTGCTTTATATTTATATTAAAGTATGTTGAAATGACATTGAAACTTCAACGTTATGCCAACGTTGAACTTCCACGTTTTTTAAACTTTCAAATTCGAACATAAATCTAACGTTATTTCAACGTTGAAATCTGATCATACTTCAACGTTGTTCACCGTTGATGTGCCTGCTGGGTTACTTCTATCAAGGAACTATTTGCGGTATTTTTAATATTATTCAAAATTCTATGAAAGTTTGATGCTAAATGCATCAATCATAATTTTTTTCAATCAATATCTAGGCTATAACCTGCATAGATATTGCCTGCACATAAAATATTGCGTGGGAGTTATCAACAATAAAAGTATGCGTGGGAGTTACCAAAATCATTTTTCTCTCGTGTAATGGAATAGAAAATGACCTGTCAACATTTAACATGCCTAATATTTACATTTTCAAATAAAGAAATTCTATGAACATTTTCTCTTTGCTAACTCGACGTAGTTTAATCAAATTCATAAAAAATACAAATTTTGCGTGAATGTTACCCGAAATATAATTGTTTACATTGAAAATTTCTGTTGAATTTTTGAGTGTTTGTAAAAGCTATGAGCACAGGGGTGGAAAATAAGGTATAGGCGGCAACAATTCTTTATTCTGCGTAGGCTGCAACAGGTCTCGTATGTAAGTAAAAGGGATATAATAAAGAATTACCTGAAAAACACATGTGAAGCGAGGTTTTTAGGCCGCCATATTGTCTGTACGCGTAACCGTAAAAGTCACGTGATTCCCTACCGTGATATAGGGGAAATGAAAAATTTTAGAGGCATAAAGTGAAAGATATACAGTGATACACAGTCAGACTAGTGATATACAGTGAGTGATATAAGTAAACTGATATAGAGAGAGGGGAAGATATGCAGTGAGAGATATACAGCCAGTTTTAAACACTGATGATATACAATACCTAAGAAGCAATAACTTCATGAATATATTAAATTTATGTATATCTTACTAGTATCTATAGATTAAAATCCCATTGCATGTTTCATACTTCAAACAGACACCAACTATGTAAGATAATAGTTGAGTAGTGATCAGATTGTACTAAGACTGATTCATCGACTCAATTCCTGACACACTTCCTTAGTTTATCTTTTATTAAAATAATGTAAAGTGAACTTATATATATGCAGTAGGGATGAAAAAAGTTAACATAGTACCATTTTTGTAAACATCATGCTCAAAACTTTCAACTTCCTCTTCATCATTGTCACTGTCAGGTACACAAACCTCTCTTCGCAATTTTTCAATTTCAATTAAAATGTAGGAGGGAAACTCTGATCCTGTATAAGATACAAATATTTTAAAGAAATAACATCTTAAAGAATAGGACAGAATATTTTATAAATATTATTGCTACTATTTTATCAATATAATTGCTTATAATTTAAAAATGATATTATTGCTAGAATGCATCTGTTAAAATAACAAAAAAATTCTACAATAAAATAATGATACATAGGCAATATTTTACATATAAAATCACAGGGAAAGAAAATTCAACTCGGCCGCACGTATTGACAATGCATGGATGAATGGCTCTGAAAAAAACTTTTTAATCCCTGTATAGCTTACCTGTTTTGGGTGTAAAAAGGTCTGTTCCTTTTTCAGCAGATTCAACAAGTTTGAGAAAACCCCCATCTAACAGACCCCACCTCTTCACATTTTCAAATCCTGTCACGGGTATCCCAGCTCGGTCAGCACAAATCTGTAATGTATAAAACAAATGAGCCGCCTCAGGACAAAACCAACATTATGGGTTTGCCACCAGTATGGATCCAGACCAGCCTGCGCATCCGCAGTCTGATCAGGATCCATGCTGTTTGCTATCAGTTTCTCTACTTGTTATAGTTTGTAAGCGACCAGCATGGATCCTGATCAGACTGCGCGGATGCGCAGGCTGGTCTGGATCCATGCTGGTCGCAAACCCATTATCTTGGTATTGTCATGACGCGGCTCAAATGACCTTAAATATCTGCCTTCTGATCTTCTTTAAATTCAAATATATAAATACAAGACAGCCAAGCAGCTGCACAATCATTATTTCATCTGGCTACAAAGAGAATGTACGCACAAATGTAGATTTATTTGAAGAAACCAGCCTCATATTTCTCTGGGAAAGAGTTTAAAAAGTAAACGCCCTTACAAATTCCCTGAAACATTTTATTATATGATATTGTGCAACTTATGTATTCCTGAAATATCACTTATGCACACTGTTTCAACAGAAAAACATGTAATCAAATTAAAATGAGTAAAAGATCCTTGAGCAATTCAAGATACACAAACCATGCACAAAAAAGCGATTCTTTTGATCTTAAACTGTGACCTTGACCATAGACTTGGTGGTCTAGAGAACTGGTTCTGCTTATTTTTTCTGAGTAAAGCTTTCAGTCCTATAGTATAATGTCTATACAGTGGACGAAAAATAATTGATGGCTCACACCTATTACTTTTCACTGTTACCTTGACAATTAAGTAAGGTTCAAGAAATCATACCAAATAGATACAAGAAAAGCATTGATGCAAAGCATCAAAGGGCGTCCAAACAGCAGGTGCAGATGAACTAGTAGATATATGATGACAAGATATTCTTATAAACTTTTCAATGGTTCATTGGGTTTTACCAGAATTGTATATCACTTTTGAATGAACGGACGAAAGACATTGTTCATTATTTATAACTTTGATCGGCATGTAATGTAATTGTGTAATTGTCCCTTATTATGTTATCGCTATTAGCGAGGACCCCCTCTTAAGGTATCTGTTCACACTAAGTAACAATATGACACTTGTTATATTACCATGTTGATCATGTTGAGCATAATTGTTTATTATACAATAAATGTAATTTCTATTTTAATAAAAAAAATACAGATTTTATGAATATTGTTTTCTTTTCTTTTTTTGTGTGTGTTTTATGCGCTATTTTAATACTGAGTTTTTACGTTTACTACTATTTTAAGAATTCAATTGTCATAATGATCGACGATTATAAGTCAAAACTTAACTGGAAAAAGTCAGTAAATCATGGTTAATCTTTCAATATATAATATTGTTTATTCTTAAACCATATACATGTACATTTGTATTTTTCTTTATCATTTTTTAAATTATCAATCAATTGAATAATTCATAAAATCTGATTTGTAACTTTGAATAATTCCTCGGAATCTTTACTAAACACGAATAACAAATTAAATAAAATGTTTTAAAGTTGATAGTGTCATATTAATGCCATAAAAATGTACATTTTTTCTCATTTATTGTACATATTTATTGTTTTTATCTCAAATAGATAAAATATAACATGCGATTTGTGTTGTTGGTTTTTTTTTTTCGAATTGTATGTTTATGTATAATAATAATCAATCAATTCGAGAGTTGATCTGTGTTTATTAATTATTGTAACCAAACTATGTGACAAACATTCATTTTGAAAAAAAGCTTATTTATCTGTAAAATATTTGTTCTGTTCTGTAACGATATCAAACATCTACTCCAAAACCGGGAGAGACCGGACAATAAACGTGTGGTACTATTCGCCGGTCATTAGTAAATCCCGGGAGAGACCGGGAATTACCGATAGGAGTACATCCCTCTATAAATAGATTTTCGGAATATTTAGGTCATCAACTCATTATTCTATTAACAGCTTTCTGAATAACATACCATAATAACCCACTGTGTACTACAAAATGATAAGCAAAAATACCCCGAAGAGCGCGATTTATTGAAAGGTTATTTCATTTGAAAATGTTTGCATTGCAAAATTCTCCAGTTCGCCATTCATTGTACATATAGCGACTAATTAATAATCAAGCACCCTCATACCGATCGGAATGTTCGGCTTTTATTATTGGCAACTATAAAAGGCTCGAGAAGTTGCTGTCGCCCTTTCACAAAATCTCATTTCATTCCAATAGGCGCCGCGCTTCGGCGCGGACGCCAATAATACAAAATAGATGGAAGAATTTGCTGACTCATACCTTTAACCTTAACAGTGACCTTGATCTTCAAGTGGGGCATTTGGATTGCATTTTACATGTTTACATGATTTCTCCAATAGATAAACAATTTGCCCAAGAACCATAAATATTGATTATTCAATCAGTTCAAAATATATGCAGCAGACACAAAACCAAAGGACAGACATTCTACCAAATGACATTCACAGACGTTAAGGTGCAAAATTTAATACCTTCATTTAGGTCTATTATCAGCTTAAACTACTTGACAAACCTGAAGAGATCACTAGTCACATGGGTTCAAACCCCATCAGAAGCAAGTCATTGTTACCTTGAGCAAGAAAATTTACACTCATTGCTCAGTACTGAACAGATAGGAAAGTGTGTCCATAAGCTTATAGTTTAGTTAAAGCACAGTTGAAGTAAAATAAATTCTGTGAACCAAACCTGAAGTGCTTTGACTATGGCTATTTCATTTGCTGAAGAAAGCTTGTGTGTAGTATTCTGCCTAAATCCATCAGCAAACTGCACTACTTGGCCGAGTCCCATCTAGAAAATACAAAATGTATCTTCATGTAATGAAAATAAAAATCTTGGTATAAATGAAAGTGATAAAATCATTGTTATCAAAATCTGTATAGTAAAAAGGAAAAAAATTTTTATAGCATTGGTATAATAATTTATATATTCCTTTTACCTTGCCCAATATCTTGAATGGACTTTGTCTATCTTTGATTCTGGACAAAACCATTCGTCTTGGATATCCTGGCTAATATCTTTGTTAGCACTGGACGCAACACACTCAGGGTTTAAATAAAAGGTTATACTTACTAGAGTTATCTTTAAGTCTTGCAACCATATCAGCCATGTCCAGCCTGGCTTTGCAGGTTTCTGACCAGCCATTGGTCCTGGAAATATCACTCCTGGTAACCAAGTTTTAAGAAACTTTCCCCAAACTATACATCCATTACACAGTGTCTTCTTAAATAAGAAATTGCATATTCATGATATTTATTAACTGCATAAGGAATATTTCTAATAATATAAACATGTCTACACGTATATGAAAATTATATAAATGTATTATTAGTTTTAACAAGAGCTGTCGGTAGGACAGCATGCTCGACTATTCTAAGTGCTTGATAGTAAAAGAGCCTTGATAATGTTAAATTTTTTAAGTTCACAAAAGGGCTAATTTTTTTTTATAAATTCATGTTATAGGCCTTAAAGAGAGTCTAATTATACAGTATTGGCTTGACTATTCGGAAGGTAATGTCACAAGGGTGTTATATTGAGTATAATAATACTAATTACCTATGAATACATAAATTTGACAGAAAAGGAACAAAGGCTTGTTATTAAGTAAATCAAGTAAATCACTGCTTTATTATTATGAATGCATAAAATTGTCCCAAAAAACCCTTCAGTAGTTATTGAGATAACAGCTTACAAGCAAAACTTTACCATGAATTCATAAGTTGAAAAAGGGGAGAAAAATCAGCCTAAATGCAAGATAGAATTATTGATCTTTGTCAGTGACCTACAATTATGACCCTAAATGCATATGTGAAGTTTTAAATAAATATCTTAAATAGTTATTGAGATATGTAAAACTTGCATGTAAACATTAACCAAGAGACTAAGTAGAAAAGGGGATATGAATCAGCCTTAATGCAAGATAGAGTTATGGAACTTGGTCAGTGACATACAATTATGACCCTCCAATTATGACCCTAAGTGCATGTGTAAAGTTTCAAGTAAATATCTTTGAAGACCTTTAACCTTTAACCAAAATTTCTAACTTTCAAAGGGGCAAATAATTCTGCAAATATTGTAGGCAGAGTTATGCAAGTTTGCAAACTGATGTACATTGTTACTATAAAAAAGTATTTTAAATTTCAATTGAATATCTCAAGCAAAAATTGAGATATTTGACTTTACAAAAAAACTTTAACCAAAATTTCTAAGTTCCAAAGGGGCATAATTCTGTCAATATTGTAGGCAGAGTTATCCAACTTGTCAATCTGATGTACCTTGTAACTATAAATAAGTAGTGTAAGTTTCAATTGAATATCTCAAGCAATAATTGAGACATTTGACTTTACAAAAAAACTTTAACCAAAATTTCTAAGTTAAAAAGGGGCATAATTTTGTCAATATTGTAGGCAGAGTTATCCAACTTGTCAATCTGATGTACCTTGTTACTATAAATAAGTATTGTAAGTTTCAATTGAATATCTCAAGCAATAATTGAGATATTTGACTTTACAAACTAGAACTCCGTGAGTCGGATGTGTCGCCTTGTGAACAATGTAGTTTAGGAGAAATGGCCAGGACAAAAATGAAATATGAAAAATAACAAAGGGCAATAACTAAAAAAATAATAAGTGCAGAGCAGCAGTTTCTGTGCACTTCACTTCTTATCAATAAGATCTATCATTCTATGATGTTTCAAGTCCAAGGCTTTCATACTTGAGGAGAAATGACCAGGACAAAAATAAAGTAAGAAAATCAACAAAGGGCAATAACTCAAAAAATAAGAAATGCAGAGTACTGATTCTTGTGCACTGCACTTCTTCTTAATGAGATCTATCATCCTATGAAGTTTCAAGTCCATAGCTTTTATACTTAAGGAGAAATGGCCCAGACAAAATTAAAGTATGAAAATAAACAAAGGGCAATAACTCAAAAAATAAGAAATGCAGAGTACCTGTTCTTGTGCACTGCACTTCTTCTTAATGAGACCTATCATCCTATGAAGTTTCAAGTCCATGGCTTTTATACATTAGGAGAAATGGCCCGGACAAAAATAAAGTATGAAAATTAACAAAGGGCAATAACTCAAAAATTAGGAAGTGCAGAGTACCTATGAAGTTTCAAGTCCATAGCTTTTTAAGTTGAAGAGAAATGGCCCGGACAAAATTAGAGTATGAAAATTAACAAAGGGCAATAACTCAAAAAAGAAGAACTGCAGAATACCGGTCCTTGTGCACTGCACTTCAGGTTATTGAAAGAAGCATGCATACCAAGTTTGAAGTCAATCAGACTTATAGTGACTGAGTTATGCTCCGGACAAGCTTTAGGGGACGCCGACAATGACGCCGACACAGACGCCGCCGACAAAAGTAACCCCTATATGTCACCTTTTCAAGGCGACACAAAAACTTTAACCAAAATTTCTAAGTTAAAAAGGGGCAAAATTCTGTCAATTTTGTAGGCAGAGTTATCCAACTTGTCAATCTGATGTACCTTGTTACTATAAATAAGTATTGTAAGTTTCAATTGAATATCTCAAGTAATATTTGAGATATTTGACTTTACAAAAAAAAAACTTTAACCAACGCAGAAGACGATGCGGACGCTGACGCCGATGCCGGGGCGACTACAAAAGCTCTCATATTCTTCGAATAGTCGAGCTAAAAACTATGACAGTTATATGACCCAGTACAACTGGTAATACAATTGGCAGGTCAGGTAATATAAGTTAATAATCAACTGTTTACACATGACCATAATTATAACCTGTCAAAACAACTTAATATTTATGATTTTTAAAATATATAAAAAGTTACAGTCTGGACATGAATGTGTATCTTTAAACTCTTCTTGAGAGCATGAGTACCTTCAATCTATAAATGTGACCTTGACCTTGAAGGTAAGGACATCGAATTTGGACGCGACATGTCCTCTTGATGTGAGAGACATTTACCTAGTTATTTTAAAATCCTTTGATGCATGACAAAGTTACAGTCTGGACACAAATGAGTGTTCCTATAAACTCTTATTGTGATAAAGTCTTCAAAATTTAGTGTGACCTTGACCTTTCAGGTAGGGACGTGATTATTGGATGTGACACAGTCTTGATGTGGTAGACATTTATGCCAAGTTATTCTAAAATCCTTCCATGCATGACAAAGTTACAGTCCACACACAAATGTGTGTACCTATCAGTGATTAATCTAGAAATTGCTTACAATGCGTCGGATGACGCACATGTTTGAAAACAATGAGTCCTGTAGCAAAATCAATGAGTCATGTAGCAAAATAAATGCGTCTTTTTAATAGCAGATCCTTGACATGATTTGCATGTTTTTATAACAAGCGATTAAGTAATTAAAGTGCATAAAAAAGTTATTTTTGGTACTAATATTAATTGCAGGCAAAACAATTTTTATTGGCTGCTCAAAAATCTAATTTGCATAATTTATATTTTCTTACTACTTATGTCTAATACTGTGCATTATCCATTTTAATTGTTCGTAATTTGCACAAAATGTCCCTCTCACACTGTATACATACTGACGACTTTTATTGCTCCTTGTATGCCTCTGTGTAGAAAGCATACACAAACAGACCTTTTGATCATGAAAAAAGTCATGCACAATGTTACCCTGATTGGTTAATCACCCTGTCAAATATTCTGATGACGTAATAGACATCTTTTTTTTTACACTCCACGTGAACTTGAGTGACCTTAGGGGAAATCATTACACACCTGTCAAATTATACTGTAACTTACAGCATTTCTTAAAATAGCAACACTTTTTTTCAGTTACCGATAATTATTTAAAATATTAAGTAGATTAATGATTTTTTGTTTGCTTTATTGGATTAAATTTACAGTAGTAGAAATGCAGTAGTAGGTGGGAAAGGGATTAGGTAAGTAGATAACTTGGAAAAATGCTATAGAGAAATGGATAAACTCAAGAATATGCGTAATTACAGGGGAATGGGTAACCTGTTGTTGTTGGTACCAGTTTTGTCTGGATGACTAAATAACATACAATATAAGTCTGGGACAGATTTTAGATGCGCCTTTTGCCATTTGCTGACGATTTTCCTGTGCCCTTCTCATTTTTAGCGCCAATGTCTGCATATTTCACCTTTGTAGGCGAATCGCTCTTATGCAAAATGGACGCTCTGATTGGCTAATGCCGATAATGGGCGGTTACCGATCACAAGCAACAATTGCTTGGGATTTAACGTTTCACGCAAATGGGGGATTAGTCTTGCACCTGTTATCATCGGAAATTAAATTATTCAACTGAAGAAATTGAAAAATTATTCAACTAATGAAATTAATTGTAATCAATCTGTACATAGAAATCACTAATCGTGATATTTTGGATTATAAACTTCCTGATTTGCATGCGTCAGATTGAACGCACATATTTTGAAACTGTGCGTCTTTTTCGAATTTTATGCGTATTTTACGCAAGACGCACATCTAGATTAATCACTGACCTATAAACTCTGATTGTGATAAAGAGAAACATTAAAATGTTAGTTTGAGGTAGGGATGTGATTTTTGAACGCGACACATTGTCTCTATGTGGTAGACATATATGCCAAGTTATTCTAAAATCCTTTGATGCATGACACAAAGTTACAGCCCTGACACGATTGTGTGTACCTATTAAATTCTCATTGTGATAATATGAAACTTCAATATGTTAGTGTAACCTAGACCTTTGAGGCAGGGATGTAATTCTTGGACGTGACACATTGTCTTGATGTGGTTGACATTTATGCTTAGTCATTTTAAAATCATTTGATGCATGACAAAGTTACAGTCTGGACACGAATGAAGTGGGGACGGACAGACAGACGCACAGACTGACGGTGGAATTTTAAAATGCCTCCCTTCGGGGGCATAAAAATGTTGCATGATTTCAATACCCTTTTAGAGTTTCTATGCTGTGATTCCCTGAAGTCCAACATGTTATCAGCGCAACCAGGTGTATGACCCGATCTCATTTCTACATCTGACGTTTCGTTTTTATCATCAGTTGGTACCATTTTGACATCTGATTTGTTGAACTCAACTAAAATGTAGATAAGACAGTCATCACACAGGGTAAACTTGGAACAAATTAAATTTCTAGAGGTGATGCCACACTAAAAATATTAAAGGTTAGGTTGCCAAGTTAAAATTTTGTGTTTGGTTGCAATGGTAACCAGAGCTCTGCTTAGAAAGGAAATATTGGTTAAAAACCTTTCTGCAAGCATTATCCCTGCACAATAGTTTCAACAACGGCTCAGTAGGTGTCAGGGGTATGTCTTCAGAAACAAAATATGAACAGATATACAAAATAGTATGTACATCTGGCAATCAACAATCTTAAAAGCATCTGAACATTGCCTGTTTTTCTCAGGAGAATGCATTTATTTATAGTATACAGAAGTATTTGACTGAGGATAAAAATGTTTATTGAAACGGTTTTAAGTTAGTCCTTACAGCAGCACGCCTCCAGAATCATTGTAATTTTCATGAAAATTTGAAAATGTATTTAACAGTATAATATTGTAAATTACCAAAAGAATGCAATTTACACATTATCAATTGCACTTACAACCTATGTAAATTACTATAAAGAGGTCAAAATATGCAAAAATAGCCCTTACTGTGTTAGTAACGCAGTAGAAATATACATTTAGTTATTCGGTCATTAATCACACATAAAATGTAAATTTTTACTAGAATTTTGAATCTTTTTACCTTTCCTAAAATCTTAGTATATTTTTCTCAGGTTTAATTTAATCGAAATATTTTATATTTTGGAGGCGTGCAGCTAAGTTGGCTTTATGTTCTAAGACTAAGGATACACGCCGGACTTTCTATGAAATGCAGCCAAGGTTTTCATTTTCCAATTTACCAATGACGATTGAATCACAAAACTCCAAAACTAAGTACATGCACAGTAATCAATGATTATAGTTGTAAGACAGTTTTCTCAAATCTGTTCTGATACATTCTATGCAGAAGTTGAAAAATTCCTCTACAATAAGGAGTGAAAGGTAAATAAATACAAGTGTAGTTCAGAAGACTCATCGCTTTAATTAGTATTTTTTTATTTCAGTATAGTTTACAGATATATGAAATTATACATGCATGTCAATTGACAAGGAATTTTCATAGCATGCAGTGCATGGTGTGACCATCATTCATTTTCGAATATAATGGAGCATTAAAATTGCAAAGCAATGCCTGCTTAATATTTTAAAACCTTCATTATCTTGCTAAGACTAGTCATAATGTGGCCTAATTTTCCCAATACCTCTTTTTGCTTTACTTTTTTGTACATTCCTCTCCTCACTACAGCCATTGCTAGCTCCAGCCTGAAAATGTTCAATCCTTGGAGGTTTCATGCGCAAAGAAAATTCATTCCCCTCACTTCTGAGTGGTGGCTGGTATCTGCCGCGCTTCATGTTTTAAACCGACCTGGATCTGGAATGAAAATTGTGACAATCACATACAGCTGTCATTGATAGAAAAATTGTGTACCTCTATATCGAAAGCTGCAATTATTGTATATGTTGTACATTTGAAAATGTGTAATAAACTGTTATCATGGTGATATACAAGCATGTTTTATACTTCACCAACACAAATACTTATTCTTGTTATCATATCTTACAGTCTTCTATAAAAATAAATCCAGTGTTCAAATTAAGGCAAGAAAAGGGGAGATATAGAATGATATTTTCAAAAAACATGAAGAAATGGGTTTAAATTGTATGAATATTTTAAATTGTGAATTGATATTGAAATTTGTGTTGTTTGTTGAATATTGATGATATATTGATATCACAATATTCAATGACAGTCCTACAATCACATGTATCAAATCACAGATTGCTGAATTTGCTCAAAGAAACAAAACAAACAACAAATGTTGACGTTAAAATATTTTAATTTCAAATGAAAATGAAAAAACACATTTACTTTGAATCCAAAGTTAAATTGGAAAAAATAAAAAAGAATTATTTAGATTAAATGATTTTACAGTTATTATATTTATATTTAGATTGGTTGAATTATGAACAATAATTTTTTTGTTACATTTCTAAAAAAGGAGTTTGTCTATTCTGTACCATGTATTTACCTTTTAACAGGCATCATTACCTTTTAACAGGCATCATTTATAATATATCATCCTCCAGTTGCACTTTGCTCAATAGTTTTTGCTTTATTTTCAAATCAACCTAACTTTTCTACTGTACAGTACAGTAACTTAATTATTTCTGTATTTTTTATTTTAATCAGACTTATTTTAATACAGATTTATTTTAATACAGAAAATAATGCAAATGTTGTTGTTGTTTTTGGGGTTTTATTGTTTGTTTTTTTCTGTGAGGATGATATTAGTTTTTACACAGCATAAAATTGCTTGTCACATGGGGAAATGTATGGATCATTGGATGAGGCTGGCATATCACCAATCACGCAGTGTTTAGATATGTTAGATATATATTTCAACTTTCAAATATATTTCATCCAATTGGTAAAACAAGAAAATATGGGCAGAAAAGGCAATAATTTTAAACATCATAAAAATATTACCATTCACAGGTCTATGAACCAGCTTCCCGCCAATGTGTCATTTGGTGGCTACATTCCGATTAATTCCCCTGACAGAGTTTATTCCGCGGAAACCGCGGAAAACCCGGAAAAGATAAAACCGTCTGCTATATCATGATGATTGTGTACATTGTATATGTATATCTTATACCAAATCCAATGTTTCAAGATCACAAAATGATTTAAGATATTCTTATAGTTGAAAAGATATTTGTCCTTTGTAAATTTTGTCTTTTTTATGAAATTAATTTACGGAAATCATTTTAAAATGCAAGTTATTTAATTTAAGTTACTGATTTTTGCTCGACTTAAGTAATTAAATATCCTTGATTATTTATGTAAATTATAAAGTTTTAAATTAACGTTTTACGGATATCTTTTGAAACATTTATGTGAAGAAATATATGATGATAAAGCATTTAAGTTGTAAGGAGGATTGCATCGACTGGACTTTTGAGTAAGGTTTCCTTATCATAACAGAATAAGAAAATTTGTACAACAAAGTATTGGTAAAAAGTTACCGATTCGTTGAACATTACTTAAAAATAATAAGAACGTCATTGAATCTAATTATCTTGAAATGGAGAAAATGCATGTTTATAATATAATACCAAAACAACACATTCTACTTGTTTAAGAAATGAAGATGTACAACATACAAAAGTTACTGTACAACGTTGTACATAAAAGCGTACAATACACAATAATAAATATACATCAACGATAGGTTAAACATTTTTTTTTTCAAATACAGAAAATTTGTATTAAACCAAATACATATACATGTACAGTAATTAGGAAAAGATAGATAATGAATTCACAGTAAATTCAAGGTCAACATTATGTACAATATCAATAGGAAGAAAACGATTCTTCAATAGAATGACCTTCAGTATGAAAATGAACAGCCATTAAAAATACTAGAATGTGTGTGGCCGCTGAAATTGTTTATATTAGTAACTCGTGGCCACGACATAATATCTCGTTCCCACGACTTAATTATCTCGTGCCCATGACTTAGTGGCCGTTGGCCACGACATAGTATCTCGTAGTTATGACATAGTATCTCGTTCCCACGAATCAAATATCTCGAGCCCACGACTTAGTTACTCGTGGCCACGACAAAGTATCGCGTGCCCACCACTCAATTATCTCGTGCACATGGCTTAGTAACTCGTATAGCCACTACATAGTACCTCGTTCCAATAACCTAACTATCTAATGCCCACGACTTAATAACTCGTGGTCACGGCATAGTATCTCGTTCCAACAACTTAACCATCTAACGCCCACGACTTAGTAACTCGTGGTCACGGCATAGTATCTCGTGCGCACGAGATAAATAAAAACACACTCATGTCACCTTTGTGCCACCGTAGAAACCAAATGATTTTAAGACACATTTCTAAATAATTTCCATCATTTTCAAAGTATTAGTATTTACTTTATGCTTATAAAAGAAATATTGGTGAAAATGCGTATTTTTATTTTTTCCGTAGTTTCACTGATAAAAAATATTTTTCAGTGAAGTGAAACATATTTTCCGTATTTTCACTGTTGTCTTGCTGGACTACTTTCTTTTACATTTAGCCAATACACAAAATTTAAGAAGTCTTTCAAATTGTAATGTTTAAATAGAGAAAAATGTATATAATAAACAGAAAATTCAAGTTTTTTTTCTATAAATGCAGGATCTATTTTTATCTTGTGATATGAAAATTATCATGTTTCATTCCTGGCTTTCGCAACTCATAAAATATTTATTTTCATACACTCCATGAAATTAAATCCTGTATTCAAAGAAAAAAATGAATTTCCTCTATGTATATATTAAATCTTGATTGCAAATGCGTACTTTTATATAAAAAAAATATTAATTTTCGCATGATTACACGTACATACAACAAGCTTTACATGTTACAGTAATTTGAGCTTCCAACAAAATTAGAATCAATGGAAAAAAAGAAAAGTATATATTTTAGTTTAATCAATTCTGTTTTAAACTGCTGTAATTATTAGTATCAACAAAATCCCTCAGCTGTGTCTTAAAGAGAATGTATATTTATTCGATAGTTATTTCATATAATTATATGTTATTCATGTTTTGTATCAATTTGTCATTTTCCAAAACAACTTTCAGTCTGATAAACCACGACAGTCATTTGTGTCGATATTTAGTGTATGTAAGTTTACTGGTATACTGTATGAATTAATGTGTCCGAAGGTCTAACCGAACCCTGTATGACTAAATTGTGAATTTCACATCTTGTTGTTTTATTTACTTAATTTTATATAATATGTTAATCATGTTCATGTTTTAAACGAAATATATGAGTCGTATGAAATCGCATTTCACGTATATATTATCACAGCAATAGAACGCACAAACAATAAAAGTCATATATTTGTAGATAACGGAAGATTCGATCTTTGTATAATCCACTATTAGTCAGCGATCAGAGGTAGAAGACACAAATGAGCTTTTTATGTCCAAAATGAAATAGTTCTATATCCATTTTAAAGCCACAGATATGTAAACAATTATATTAAAGCTCCATGGTCAAGCATATTTTTGGAAAATCTTGAAAGTAAAGCTCAATTCTGTTTTTGAAATTGACAAAAACGAATGATAATTACATCAATGCAAAATATCTAACGAAATAACGATATTTTAATTTCAAACATGGAGTTGAATAGACTATCTGTGTTTCAAAGAGGGAAAATGAAAACTTTAAATAATGGTTATGCTTAAACATTTCATTTTTTTGTGATTGTGAAACATTGGATTTGGTATCTGCACACAATCATCATGATATAGCAGACGGTTTTTATCTTTTCCGGGTTTTCCGCGGGTCAAGGGAGGCAATCACTTTGAGGAGTTTGAGTGGAAGTCATTCTTTCACCTAAAGAATGCATAAAAGACTCACAATTTAATGGGTCTTTCCTTTAATTGTGTTCTTGAATTATTTGTTATCGTCAGTAAGTTGTTTAAAGCTATGAAGACATAGTCTTAGATCAACCTAATTGATGGCCCGTAACGTCAGTGGTCCGAATGAATACCTTCAGCGGTCGCCGACTGCTAAATCTGTACATACATGCGGGATGACTTTATAATGGCATTGATTATGAACAACATTTTGAAAGTAAAAAGAGTTTTTAGATGTGGGAGAAGATATTTATTACAGAGAAATGAAAGTGCAACTGCAGAAGACTTGGTAAACAATATTGTTTGAATGATTTTCGTTTCAGGTCGACTCTAAACTTTATTCGGCCCAAGTTATCTCGACCCATTACAAATTCGCCACCTGTAAATTTGAACCATAGATCTGTTAATAAAACTCACTGGTTATAAAAACATGCAATATGTCTTTTTCATGTTTTTGAAAAATAACGAAATATCGGTTGTTCCACATTATTCACAGTGTGCAAGTTTTAGGTGCTATATCATTATCGTCTAAATATTTTGTCATGTACGTCAAAGTATGTTACAATCCAAAATGCCAATTTGATTGTGCATTAAGTCATGGTAGTTGGCTGCTGTCTGTGTGTAATAACCAGTAATCACACCAGTATGGAAGTCAAATGAGGGGATTCGAACCAACAACCTCTTGTCAAGGAGCCCAATGATATCTACCCTACGCCACTCTTCACTATTTTAACTGTTTAAGGTGATTTTCTGACACTGGATGACACCATAGAACCTCTCCTCTGGGAATAAGAAAATGTAGGAAAAGACAAAATGTACATGAAGTGGGATGGGATTGGATTTTGAGATTTTCATTTTGATTTATTAAATGTATGTTTATCATACAGTCAGGACTCATTACAACGACACTGTTGGTTCCCAAAGAATATGTCAGTATATCGAATTTGTCAGTATATTGAATTTCATCATTCATCATGTTCACTGGTATCTGAACATTATGTATTTAGATCTATAATAAACATCTAAAATGAAAAAAAAATTGTGTTTATGTGTTCACTTTATTATAAACATTACATAATATTATCAGACGCATAATACAACAACTTTATTAAAATAATAACAACTTGTTAAAGATTGATATGAAAATGATAAAACTTTATAAAATAAAAAGCACATACAATGATAGGACTTTTAAAAGTTAAATCTTTAAAAATTGTTTGCACACTGTTTGTCTTTGTCAATTAACGAAAAAGGTCTTTGATACTTTTCTGAACCTTGCTCAATGATACGCGCGCTTGACTGACCAAGTGTCAGTTTAACTAACAGGTACTGATTGTATAGAAAATAACATGTTTGGTTTCCAATTTTATTGTGTCGGAGTCGGAATACGAATTTTCCGTTATAAAAGATTATAATAACGTTGAAAAAATTTGGTTCCGACCAATTCACTGTCGTTATTTGAATTTGTCAGTATAATGGATTCCGATGTATTGAGTCCTGACTGTATAGTCCTATAGTTACAACGTCGCTTTGAGATAATTTTGCTGTCAGACTTGACCGACAAAAACTGTAACAAGCCTGTTACGTCTAATATATTGGACTAAGTTGCTTAATGTGCCGTGTGTCACCGTTGTAAAGTCACCTTATATATGCAATCAGATGTACCCATTTGGATATGTTTGACACTTGCTTGTGATATGCAGACTTCATAACCTCTGATCCCCATCTGTGAATTCCATTTTATTTAGTTCAGCCAATTGTTTTCTCAATAAGGGCAATGACATGCTTCTACTTAGAGGACCATGTGCTGCTGTTCATTGAATTTGGCATGGATCTGTCACATTAAAGGATCAATGATCTTTGCCACTTACATGTATGAATACATGATACATGTGCTGATGTTTCAAAATCTACTTTTCTTGTTTCAATTAAGCCAGTGCTAGAGAGCATGGATGGTAGACTGCACATAATACTGCAATCCATCACATAAATATCCCACTGTACTTCTTTTGAAATTATGACATGTATTTTTAAGGTACAGTTGTCATCTATCAAGGCTTTCAGATGTCTGTTTTGGAAAAAAAACAAAAACATTTGATTGAATTCCTGTTTTAAAGAAAACATTCTTTAATGTAATGTGTGATTATTTCAGACAAAGTTTGCCGAGTGCCCTCCATGTGTGTTTTCTGGGATCCAGCCTACAGGAGTACCTCATCTAGGCAACTATCTGTGTGCTATAAGGAAATGGGTAGATATGCAACAACAATATGATAGAATGTTTGTCAGTATAGTAGATCTGCATTCTATAACAGTTCCACAGGATCCTGCTACACTTAGGTATCATAATACATAACACATCAGTGATTTTACTGCTAGCTTATATAACAGACTCAGATAAAAGGCCTCTTCCCAATGGAAATTTTCTTTAAAATCATGCAGTTTCTTCAAAAATCGGAACTTAAACCTGCTTTTTAATTCCCAAATAAGCCCTTTTATCAATTATGTTCCCCAAAATCAACAGGCTTAGGCTTCTTCCCAATTAAGTGAAATAAATCACTGCACATATCTGTAACAGAGCTCTTCTGATAAAGAAAACTGATGAAGTATGATGTATGGTAATTATTTGTCTAAGCTTCAAGAGAAAATGAGGTGTTATATTTTAAAATATTTTGTCCGATACCGTCTTTTCTTTTGTAAAACATCATCTGAGATTTTGTGTAACAAATGATACCCCTTGTAAAATGTTACATTGTAAAAAGAAACAAGAAATTTTTAACAGCATTTTGTGCTCTTCATTATTAATTATAGTTTCAGGCTTGTTGTACTCATAATGTTATCTGTGATTTTTCATAATCTTAACCTATGTCTTAACTTATATCAAAGTCCAAAATTTAATTCATTTTATTAATTTTATGAAATGATATTATTAATTGTTAAACCATTATTTTATATATGTATATTTATATCATTGTAAATGAGATCTATGATGTTGCAAAAAATATACAAAAAAAAAGGTATTTAGATAATCATTTGCATAATTGTACATTACAATACTAGTTAAAATTGTTTAAACCCAGGCTTTTATGGCTAACTATTAACTGTATATCAAGGTATATAGGGATGCATGAATGTGCTATTCTGATAGGTTGTATTGTTTGATTGTGTAAAGTTGGACCCCTTAACTTAAAAGAGTGGTACAATCACCAACAATAGCACATTTGTCCTTGTTCTATACCTTCTGTTTATAAAAAAACATCTGAACAAACCAATAAATTATTTTTCCTTATGACTAAACATAGGAATATAAACTCATTTACACATGTGTGAGGTAAATACAAGGTGTGGAATATGTAAAAATCTATGTTGTATTTAAATATATGTGTTTCTTCAATTGAAATTGATACATTGTAATTACATTGTAGTGTTTTCATCAGAATATTGGTACAGATTCAATTTATACACATGATGGGAAATATGCTTTCTTACTTTAAAGTAAGCCTACTTTCTTTAAATTTCAGAGAAAATATTTTGGTTATGGCGGCATGTTTGATGGCATGTGGAATAGATCATGAGAAGACAATATTGTTTCAACAATCAACAGTAAGTTTTACTTTTAGATTTATGAACCTTTATCACACTTAGTATCTTAAATGGACTTGTACATTTTCCATTCATCGTTTTTTAGGGAAAATTTCAAAATATGTTATGTCTGAATAGTGAACAGTGGAGGCTGAATATCATATCATTTGTATATCATATTAAAACATTGAGAAACATGAACATTTACAATGCATGGGTACATCAACAGTTTTTCTCCATATTAATAGAAAAGTACCTTTATTAAACGTGAAATGTTTTAGTACTAATTTATATCATATTTTTAGCCCCAACCTGTAAGCAGGAGGAGGTAACTGTATCAAGCATTTTGACAGAATTACAAAATGTACAGTCGACTCTCGTTATCTCGAAGTCTTCAATACCGTCAAAAAAATATCGAGATAACGAAATGTCGAGATAAACGTATGAGGGTTTGAACCTGTCAAAAACTAGTTTTTACAGAAGACATGCGCATACCTTATAACTCAAATAAGTACGATGTTTCATTATCTTGTGTCAATCCTTATAATAAAATTAACAATTCGTTACATAATTTAGCGATGTTTACCAACGGAAATACAGTATTTAGGTGCTATGTGATTGGCACATAGTGAGGTTTACTCAGTTATACACCACTGAAGCATAAACGTTGTTTTCTAACTTTATTTATTTAGTGTTTTAACATTGCATTATAACATATATAAATTACATGAAAACATTTCATAGCAATCATTTTGTGAGAGTAATAGCACATTTATAAAAGCACAATATTTATGAATAGTTAGCACGTTTATTTAATTTACCGATTATTCGATAAAATTCACTCATTTTCGACATAAGTCAATCAACACGCTAATTAACAATTATTTCAAAACACCTTGACTTGTTACAAACATATCATCATCAATTATTATGACACGCGCTTTGAGCGATAACCGTCCGCTTGGTGTTTTTCACACCTCTGCGGGAGGGGGCAGACGAATAATTATTTGTCGAGATAAACAAAGGATTATAGTGTGAAAATAACTGTTGGGGCTGAAATATCAAATCGAGATACTGAAAAAATCGAAATAAAAATATCGAGATAAAGAAATATTTTCAATATAGATAAAGAAGGGGAAAAAACGGGACTTTCAGAATTTAATCGAGATAACGAAATATCGAGAAAAGCGATGTCGAGATAACGATAGTTGACTGTATGCCCCTTTTTTGACTTAGAATTTACGTTAAAGTTTTTGTAATAGTTCAAATATTTTCAAAGTCCATTGACATATGGCTTTGAAACTTTGCACACTTGTTCACCATCATTACCCCAACCTGTAAACAGGAGGAGGTAACTGTATCAAGCATTTTGACAGAATTATGCTCCTTTTTTCGACTTAGAATTTATGTTAAAGTTTTTGTAATACCTCAAATATTTTCAAAGTCCATTGACAGATGGCTTTGAAACTTTGAACACTTGTTCACCATCATTACCCCAACCTGTAAACAGGAGGAGGTAACTGTATCAAGCATTTTGACAGAATTATGCCCCTTTTTCGACTTAGAATTTACGTTAAAGTTTTTGTAATACCTCAAATATTTTCAAAGTCCATTGACATATCATATGGCTTTGAAACACTGCACACTTGTTCACCATCATTACCCCAACCTGTAAACAGGAGGAGGTATCTGTATCAAGCATTTTTTTTTACTAGCACTAAGAATAGTCGAGCGTTTCTGTCCGACCGACAGCTCTTGTTGTTATCTAAAATACAATTTTGTTCATATGCAGTTGTAACAGTACTCAAATGCTATTTGTAGTAAATGATTATATTCCTGTCTTCCTCTCACATACATCTACAGGAAGTTACAACTATTTCCAGGTAGCATATCATACCGAACTTGCATGGATCCTCGGATGCTTGTGTACTTTACCAAGACTTAGCAAATTACCACAATGGAAGGTAGGCTTATATCTCAATATATATCTTAAATTGGCTATTTGGAAGTATCTTCCACTTAGCTCAATAGGGAGAGCATGAAATTAGCAATCAAGGGGTCTCGATGTTAAAATCAGTGTAAAAAATAGAAAAACAAATCTTTCCTTGGTTTCCTCCATTTTTAGCTCGACTTTTCTATGAAAAGGGGAGCTATCCTACTCGCCCCGGCGTCGGCGTCGGCGTCACACCTTGGTTAAGTTTTTCGTACCACCCCACTTTATTTCAGAAGTATTACAAGTATGGCTTTGAAACTTACCATACTTGTTCACCATCATAACCTCCATCTACAGACAAGAGTACATAACTCTGTCAAGGTTTTTGACAGAATTATGGCCCTTTTTTGACTTAGAAAGTGTATTGAGCTTGGTTAAGTTTTTTGTACCACCTCACTTTATTTCAAAAACCATTGGAGGTATTGCTTTGAAACTGACCATACTTGTTTACCATCACGACCTTCATCAACAGACAAGAGGACATAACTCTGTCAAGGTTTTTGACAGAATTATGCCCCTTTTTGACTTAGAAAATACATTGAATATGGGTAAAATCCACTTATTGCCTTAACCCTTTGAGATATTGCTTTGAAACTTTTAATGCTATTTCACATCATTACCCCCATCTGTACGCAAGAGAAGGTAACTCTGTCAAGGATTTGTTTTAAAAATTAAGGCCTTTTATCGACTTAGAATCTTGGTTAAGTTTTTAGTACCAGTCCACTTTTTGACTGAACTGTTTGAGATATTAATTTGAAAAGTTGGAATACTTGTTTACAATCATGATTCCCAAACATGTCCAGGAGAAGGTAATTCTGTCAAAGATTTTATTTGAATTATGGCCCTTAACTGTCAATGTTTTGTATTATAGGCAAGCACTAAAAAACTTAAAAAATCTAAAAAAATTCATTCCTATCCACTTGTTCACTTTACCATAAATTATGTCATATAAACATTGCTGTAATATTCAAGGGTATCAAACAACTAGTTCACTTTAAAAATACAGAGATTCTTGTATTGCCTTTTACTGCAAAAACTTTTTTTATTGGCAAGCAATAAAAAAGTCGAGCGCGCTGTCTTACGGACAGCTCTTGTTTTCTGTCTTTCCATTCCTTTCTTATATACTTCTATCTAGTTTATCATTTCATACACAGAGCTCAAGATAGCGTGCGTAAAAGCGTAAAATACGCATAGAAAATCTAAAATACGCTTCACTTTCAAAATTCGTGCGTCACAGTTACGCACAACAAAATGAAAGTACGCTCGTATATCAAAATTTATACGTAAAAGAAGAGAAGTGAACATTTGATATGTAGAAAGAAAATGTTTTGAGCATAAAAATACAATATATTTCCATTTTATTGCATTAAAAAAAACCTAAAAATTCTGTTGTCAACAACGCATGTTAAAAACGAAAGTAGCAGGAAATACAGAAGGGAGGTAACTCCCGTAGATCTATCAACCTGTGAAATTATCAGATAATCATCGTAGGAGTTAACACAGTATTAAGTTTGTTTAGGCATCTATTGACATACTTATGCCTCAATATAAACAAAAATATATTTTAATTTCTTTAACTTTTGCTGCTAGAACAAAATAACATGTTTTTTACCTGCAGTTTTGTACTCAATATTTTCGTACCCAGTCTACAGTTACGGACAATTTTCTCTCAGACCAATACTTTTTTTAAGGAAAGATAAAAAAAATCTTGTTTATGTTTCTTTAATTCTAATTTCAACTATAATTGTTCAAACTGGAGTACATGATAAAGTTCATGCCAACAAAAATAAAGAAAGAAAAATATTGACTCCTAGAAAATAAAATAACTTGAGGGCATCCACTAGTGGAAGTTTGGGAGTCATTTACTCCTTCATTTGGTGTGACTTCCGAAAATCAATACTTTCCTTCATTACCTTTATAATGTGACTTTCAATATCAGAGATTTTGAAGTCTTTGACTTCCAAATTTTGAAAATGATTATTTTAATTTTAATTCTGATAATTTTGCTGTGTATCCTAAACTTGAATTCCAGTATACTCTGGAAGTCTGACTTTACATGGCATGTTTTGTACTGTTTCACATTAAATCAGTATTTAATTTGTAAAGGTTTTCTTAAAAAAAAGAAAATAAACAAACAAACAAACACAACAATAAGTTTAATTTGTTTATAAAAAATGCAAAATGCTTTTTTGACAGATTTTACCCCTTAAGTTTTTCAGAATTTGCATTTTACCCCTCACTGTAAATTTTGAGGGGTAAAAACCCCTTGGCCAAAAAAATTATCTGGAGCTCTGATACAAGAGTAGACAGCTAAATAGCATCATCAACCTTCCCTATGCTAGTTAGATAATCTTCTCTCATGAAAGAATTCTAAATACCTAGTGGGATCTGAACCCAGGAGAGTGGTTCCAAGTCAACAGCATTAACTAGGTAAACTTGTGCCATTGGTGTAACTTACTTTAGATATGTTAGGTAATTTAAGTCGTGATTCAGAATTATATTTCATGTCTTTTCCTAGTGTCACCATGGGTCAGATTATCAGACCTATTTCCCATTGAGTCCATTGACATTGACATGCTTATTTTTCCCAATTTGTAAAAAGAATTCCAAATTATACTGAAATTCCCAATATCCAAACTAACGTTCATTCAGACAGATCTTTTCTCACACTTTATTGTTAATCTTTTACTCATTTTGATTGATATTTGTGTTGGTTAAAATAAACAATGTTGCACAATTCAAAATGATCTGATAAAAAAGTCTGGATGGAAGATTAACAGGCTACCAAATATTTACCTCATGCTATACTTAAAAATTACAATTACCAGTTCTTCCTCTTAACTTAAATTTTTTTATCAACTTTCTTCAGAATGAAACCGGCTGTTATGAAGATCATTTATTTCATTTGCTGCTTAAGTTAACTTTAACCCATAACCTGCTGATTTCTTGCGATGGACTTACCTTGCTTTGAATTAGGATCAGTCCATTTAAAAATTTAGGGATTTCAGTATCAAAATACATGTACAAAAATGGAGCTACCACCATTGTAGACCATGATCAAGACTGCTACAGATGTGGAGGCTGGCCTGGCCCTATACTGGTGGCAATTGCTAATCAATTTATGTATTACATGTATGTGCTGTTGGATAATAAGTGGTTTTACATATCCTTCAGGAGAAATCAAAAGTGGTGAAGGACCCTGGAGTGGGATTGTATACCTATCCCATACTACAGTCTGCAGATATATTACTATACAAGTATGTAAAAACTTACATGCAAATATGTTTACATGTGTACTTTAAAAAAATAACTTCAAATTATTGATTCAATAGCATAAGTTGAACAATTATTTTTCTTTCTCCATAACTTGCTATTAGTCCTGTGTTTAATGGATGCCAATTCATTTTATTAATGAAAATTACTGCAAACAATCTGCTTATGAGTTTTCTAAATTATGATTATACTTTAGATTTTATACATTGTACCTCCCCTTACCAGTTTTTGAAGAAGAAATGGTATTTTTGTTCCTCGTGCTTAAAATGTGACATTAAGGATAGGTTTGTCTGTCTCTCAGAAGAAAGTCAATGGTCACAGTGATCTCAAAACGTTAAATGTTTTCCACTTTATAAATGGATTAATAAAACTTTAAGGACTGATTTCAAATATCAGTGATCATTTTTCATTCTAAAATTATTATTGTTTTTCTCATATGTTTATATAATAAGATGATAACGTTTGTGCTGTTTCAGAGCTACAGTAGTACCAGTTGGAGAAGATCAGATTATCCATCTAGAACTCTCCCAGGATCTAGCTAGAGCTTTTAACAGAATCTATTCCATCATATTTCCTTATGCTAAACCTCTTATAGGTCAGTATTTCTCCTTCAAAAGTGTGTACTTTTAGCTTGATTTTTCAGAAAATATGGGGAGCTATGAGCTAGTATTGGTCCTTTTTGTCACTGACTTTAATTCATATGCCCTTCACCACTGTGTATTTGAAGCCCTCGAGGAACATTAGATTTTTTTCTTTGGAAGAAGCTAACCAGCCAGCTTATGGAAGGTTTGTGGTTCTACTTAGGTGAATGCTTGCCCCTAAAATAATGCATTATAGGGCACCTGAGGTCTTCCTCCACCAGAAAGGCTAGAAAGGTGACTAAAAGTCCAACAAAAGAAACAGTTTTTGTCACACTGTTATGTGCATGAGATAAAAAAATATAGTTACAGTATTCACTTGTATAAAGCAAATCTTGGCCTCTTATTGTATTATACCTCTTTGTGAACATCACAAAAATATTTTAATATTAATATGAACATTGTTTGATTTGATTTTTTAAATGGTTTCAGGTGATGTGTCCAAAGTCAGATGCCTTAAGGACCCAGCATGTAAAATGAGTAAATCCAACCCTAATCCTATGTCAAGAATAGACCTGCAAGATTCTGCCGATCTTGTTGCAACAAAGATAAAGAAATCAGTAACAGACTCTATTAGACTTCTATCTTACGATCCTCAGGAAAGACCTGGTGTTGCCAATCTTATAAACATGCATTCATTGATAACTAATACAAGACCGGAAGATATAGTACAAGAATTTGGAAACTTGAATAAAGTTCAGTATAAGGAGAAAGTGACAGAGTTTATAAATGGAACTGTTCAGCCAATCAATAAAGAGATGACAAGATTGTTAAGTGATAAACATTATTTACATACTGTACTGGATACAGGCATGAACAGAGCATCAGAGATAGCTGAAGTAAATATGAAAGAAATTAAACAAGCAGTTGGATTAAGATAACATCCGATGTTCCATATTTTTATCTCTTTTTTTTTTGTTTCTGGTGTGAAAAAATAAACATGCTTTCATGATAAGATATTGTTATATACATGTATTTGAAATTCAGAGAAATTTACTGCATTAACAGTAAGAACATAATACTTCAACAGTATGAACATAACCCATCAACAGTATGAACATAACACATCAACAGTATGAACATAACAAACCAACAGTATGAACATAACATAATGAACAAAACATGTATGAAAATAACCAATCAACAGTATGACCATAGCAAATCAACAGTATGGACATAACAAACAACAGTGTGAACATAACTCATCAGCAGTATGAACATAACAAACCAACTGTGTGAACATAACTCATCAGCAGTATGAACATAAACCAACAGTGTGAACATGACTAATCAACAGTATGAACATAACATGTCAACAGTATGAACATAACACATCAACAGAATGAACATAACACATCAACAGTATGAACATAATTCATCAAAATGATTTTAATCTATATAGAGTGTGTTATCCTGTTTTGATGTTGCAGGTGTGATAAATACAAGGACAAAATGCAGTTTGCACTCGCTGCTGAATCGCCGCTTGGGCCGACTTGAGGGTTCACCTGAAGGTATGCGAGTCTGCAACATACACATGTGACACCTGCAACATGAGCATTTACCAAAAGAAGCAATTTGAAGACCACATGGCTATGCACAAAGGGGAGAAGAACTACGCCTGTCCTTGTGTCGCATGTGTATTTTACCGGCCCTTGTAATTTCTTGTGAAGTCGGCTAAACGGCGAATCTGCTTCCACAATTGTAGACAAACTGCATTTCATCCTTGTGTTTATAACATCTGTACAACACCACATACCGATAACACACTCTATATAGAGCTGTAACACCTATTTAATAATTATTTGAAGTTATAAATTGTATTTACCACAGTTGTGTCATAATTGAAAAAGTGTGCAACAATATAAGTTAACAAGGCGAGCCTTGCCCCAAAGCACTCACTGAGGACAGACTGTTATTTGTGTATTACAAGAATTTGAACGATGACGCTTCTTCATAAACATGGTCCTTATTTCATAGCTGACATGAAAGCAAGATTAAATATGTCACTGAATCAATATTTTGTGTCATCTGATATCAGATTTCAGTTCTACACCTAACACAAAATTGTTCAAAGTGTCATAGCTGTATGTAAAGAAGCACGAAAGTAGGTAACTTCGTCCAAATCTGAGTCAAGCTGATATCAAAAGTTCAATTCTATATTTACTACCGTGTACATGGTCCAAATTTTCATTGCTGTCCATCAAAGGACAAGGAAGAAGGGCAGTTCGTCAAAATCTAGGTCAACTGATATAAAAGTCAAGTCAACATCTGAAACAGTGCACATGGTCCATTAGCGGTATATAAAGTTACAAAAATAGTATGCCCAGTGTATCCCCTTTGGCAGGACAAGGACGGTTCTGACCACAAGGCTTTAATTTAATCAATATTAGTACAAGTCCACCAGACCGTTGCTCCTGTCCAAAGACCTAAAGCTCTAGCTATCTCCTTGCAAAAAAATCTTTTTAATTGTTGTTTAATGTATATATTACGAAAACACATGACCCCAAGTGCGGAGCCTTTTTACCTTAGGGCCCATAACTTGAACAATCTTTATAGAAAATTCACAATGTTACAGGCCTGTGTGGTGATATTTCATTTTGTAGATACATTTATACACAGTAAGTCGATTTATTTTCATACTCCCGTGCATTATCCGTGAGGTCTTCCTCCACCAGTAAAGCTGGAACCGTCGCCATATGACCTATACTGTGTCGGTGTGAATTTTATTTTCATTTGTTTTCTTCAACTCATTTATCGTATGGAAATTAATCAATACAAGAAAGGAAAGTACTTACATGTATATTCAAGTTAAACGCTTAAAATGAACCATCAGAGAATTGTGAAATAACAGCGACATATCTACAAAATGTGATGACATCAGTGATGAATAGTCTCTTGATTAATCTATCAAAAAAGCACCAGTGCATAAATGGTTTGACAATATTCCCAAAACCATATTGTCCAGATAAGAAACAAAGAGTACACAAAACCAAAAGTGACTGAAAATATAAGTACATGTGTACTTACAAAAGTGAAATGTTTGATTAAGACAATGTTACGGCGGACAGCGAGAAAAAGGGGGCGATCACAATTTATCTGAAGTTGATAGAAACGTGTGAAAAGCCCAGGCAAGATTGGAAAGAAGAAATACTGCCATGGCAACAGTTGAAACAGTTTGTTTTGGTTTGTGCATGTGTACGTGTCAACACTTGATGTAGATGGCCTTTTGCATGGAGTTGGAGTCGTTTTAGCTAGAAATTTTTAACACTTCAAATGTACTTAGAATAACTTTATCGCCGTCAGTAGAATTTTAGTAAGGTTTTTACAAACTTGTAAAACGAATTCAGCTTGTAGTATTCGTAGTTAATTGTTTTTGTTTGAAAAAGTAAAGTATGAAATTATAAGTCTAAGAAATGCAGAAATACCTGTTTAATGTATTTCATTATTTATAATTTTATCTGAATTATTTTCAATACAATATAAATTATTTCGCTATATATTAAGTGCTTTTGTAATCCTACTTACGTAAAAATAAATAAACATACATGTACATTCTAATATGTATAATTTTTACTTTTTAAAAATAGTGGTGAATAGTATTTGTTGATGAAAAAATTCAAATGTTAATCGACCAGTCGCAATAGAAGCTTTATTCAATATTTTCAAACACTGTATGACAAAACACCCGACCCTTCGAAATCAAGCTGCATAATTTTATGGATTCTGATATTACCTTAACGTTCATAGAAGCACCAGTTGATTAAGCCAAGTCAGTGCATATCAAAGTATGTCATTTACATGTTAAAAGAAATTCGTCATCTAGATCGCCGCCAACTTTCTCTCCC